CCCGCCACATTAGGCGTATGTGGCTGGCGCCTTAGCCACTTGAGCCACAGGCGCCGAGCCAGTTATTATGTTTGAAGCTCAGTTTATTCCATCTGTGGCCAGGCTAACCTCTTCAAGTTGGCTCCTGAGTGCTTTTGATACAATCTGGTAGACTTTGATAGCTTCCTCACTTTCTACTGTGACAAAAGTTTCAAGACCATCTTGCATATTTCCTGCTCCAAATCCGGAATCAACTATTTATCTGAGAAGCTCTCATTTCTTTTGTGAGACACAGTATTTCACCACTGTAATCTGCCTGCTATCCATTACTATCAAATTGATTGTTTCTAGGCCTTTCCAGTGGACAGACCTAGGATTTTTATTGTTGTATTGTTAATATAAAGTGCCTCATGAGTTCATACTTACCCTTCCTATTAAAATTCAGGATGATATTCCCAATAATTGATCTATGAGTTAAAAGGAAATTTTTGTGTATGTTCTCCCTATTCTGCCTACATTAAAAAAAAAAGTATATTGTATTTACTCTGACAGTGTGCCACTGCTGCATACGCTCTCCCACTCACTCTCCTTTAGTCCCGGTTGTACAAGGAGGTCTGTGTTCAGCACCACCAGTCGTTATGCTGAGCCCTGTAGCCCGTCTGCAGCTCAGTCTCCAGGAGATTTGTCAGGAAGTGATCATAGGAACAACATTCCCTGTGTCTAGCATGTTTGTGGTCCTTATGCATCAAGGTCAGTTTTGCTGGATTTGATTCCTGGGCTCCCATTGTCTTTCTTTGACTACCTTCAATATGTGACTTTAATTTTTTTGTCTGGCATGAATTGTTGCTGTCAAAGAGTGATGATAATCTAATTTTCCCTCCTTATAATGGCTGTTTGTCCTAGAAGGACAAAGGATTTTTTTTTCTTTAAAGCATAACAATTGACTAAATGTGTATCTGAATTAGTCATTTGGGGTTGTTATTCACCCTTTACATCAGAAAAAGCTAAAAAAAAAATGTTAAGATGATACAAGGTGTGAAGGCACAATATAAATCAGAAATGTAGTGACAAGATTAAGGAAAGGATTAAGATTTCTAAAAGATAGTTTCAGAAATAAAGGCTATACTAGACACAAGAGAGAGAATAAACACAACAGGTGAGGAAGGTGGAGAAGAGGAAACTTTCCATCTGCTCCGTAGCATGTCTGTCTCCATCTTCCTGAACTTTTAGATGAAGACTTAGTTCAGAATACTTTTTCTTACTCCACAGAGCCCATCCCTCTTCTACGTTTCATGCAGTGTCGACAAAATGGCAGCTTGCTTTTTTGTGATTCTCTGGCCCTGTTCCTATCTCCTATTTTTATCTGGACCTTATATTGCCTTTCTCTGAATTACTCCTACTTTGCTCAGTTTTGATTCCTGTCTCAGTAGTTTCTCCCCAGTATCAGATACCGTTCTGGAAGGGAAGCCTGGCAGGTCAGATTCAAGAGTTCATAGGCTGCTTCAGCCCCTTTAGCTCTTACTGGGGATGCAGATGACCAGCAGGGATAAGAGAAGTTCACTACAGGGAATGGAATGTGCAAAGTCACAGAGTCAAGAGAGTCACAAACAGAAAATCCAAGAAGTTATTAATAGTCACTGAAACTAGTAACCAGCCACTAAGAAATAATACCACAAGTTACCTTAGGAAGTACCCTGTGGTTTTAAAACAGATGACATTTTTCTCAAAATTGTAGTGGTCGTTTGACTGTAGGTGGGGTAGAACGATAGAAAGCAGATAATAAAATGGGTATATGCCTCTATTTTGCTTTAATTTTTATTGTAGGTAGTTCTTCCACCCAATTTTTGGTAGTTGACAACTCCAGATTTTAGAATAATAATAGAAATAAAAGTAAGGAAGCTTTTGTTTGTGTTTTATAATTATTTAAAATATTTTATAGAATAATTCTTTCAAGGCACTAAAATATTTACTATATTTACTTTTATGAACTTTAAAATAAAGGCTAATTTATGTACTTTATGTGCCTTACTCGATTGTTTTAGAATATTTTTCTATGAAAATATAACAATGAATAAACTTATTTACCACATTAAACTTTTACAGTGTTACCAGTTTTTCTTACACAGGTAAAGGAAATCTAATATTTTTTATAGTCAAAGTAAAAAGCTAAGTGCATAAAATGTTAGAGTTTCTTATTTTTAAAAAATAGGTTGCTGGGTGATTTGCCCTTCATTTAAATGTTAAAGTTGACTTAGTTTAAGAGCTGGTGCCCAGAGTTTCTTACAAAGGGTTTCCTGCATCTGCTGGCTGTTGCTGATAAGAATCCAGTGTTCAAGCCTTTTGTTTATCTGAGGAAATTCCTGTTAGGTGTGTGCACATTCCCTTTTGTTTTCAGTGTTAGCCTTAGTGAGTTGGCCGTAAGAAAATACAACACGTTATTCTTTTGGCAAAATTCTTTTGCAGGTGGGGGATACTTTAGATGGGCATAGGCAGATCAGAGCCACAAGTATATCCATCAGAACACTGTGTAGACCAATTTCTTGGTTTAGACAAGTTGCTTAATTTTTTTTTTTTTTAATATTGTTTCAGGTTAATTGAAAGTACAAAGAATTAGGTTGCACTGTTTGCACTTATTAGGTAAAGTCACTCTTATAATTGTGTCCCACCCCCATGAGATGTACCATACACCTAAGATTGTGCCTGTTAAGTGGGAGCACACCCATCCCCCACTTCTCCCCTCTCCTCTCACTTTTGTTCCCCACCCCCCACCTTGAATTGAGTTGAGTTTTTCTCTTATGTGGGCTTATATTAGATTGTCTTCTAGCTTCAGATTAGTATTGAGTACATTGAAGTCTTGCTTCTCCATTCTTTTGATACTTTACTAAGATTGTGTTCCAGCTCTATCCAGGTTAATACAAATGATGCAAGGTCTCAATCTTTTTCATGGCTGAATAGTATTCCACGGTATATACCATAGCTGCTTAATCCATTCCGGGGTTGGTGGGCATTTAGGTTGTTTCCACATTTTGGCGATTGTAAATTGAGCTGCCATAAACATTCTAGTGCAGATGTCCATATGATAAAATGATTTTTTTTTTTTCTTCTGGGTAGATGCCTAGTAATGGGATTACAGGATCAAATGGGAGGTCTAATTTGAGTTCTTTAAGGGTTCGCCATACTTTCTTCCAAATGTTTAATTGCTTTAAAAAATAACATCCATGGCTCGGCGCCTATAGCTCAACCGGCTAAGGCGCCAGCCACGTACACCTAAGGTGGCGGGTTCGAATCCCCAGCCTGGACCCGCCAAACAACAATGACGGCTGCAACCAAAAAATGGCCAGGCGTTGTGGCGGGCACCTGTTGTCCCAGCTACTTGGGAGGCGGAGGCAGGAGACTCGCTTGAGCCCAGGAGCTGGAGGTTGCTGTGAGCTGTAATGCCACGGCACTCTGCCCAGGGGGACAGCTTGAGGCTCTGTCTCAAAAAAAAAAAAAAAAAATAACATCCATGAGCATTGATTAGATAAGATAGACTGTGCTGGCAGTGTATATTCAGTAACTTGAAATAACTTCTTAGAAATATGTCTGATTAAGTCTGGAAGGGCCTTTGAAGTAGGTATTTGCCATAGTAAATTTAAAGAATTGATGGATTTTATTTAGATGCATTTTAGTGGTATTTGAATGTTTTTCTTTTGTGATATCCATCACATGTGAAGATAATAATGTGTTCAACATTCAGAAGCTGAGGCTTGCTATTTCAGCTAACTCATACCTGCTTGTATTAAAGCCAAAATTACTATGCCTCAAGAAGTATCCTGCAGCGGTGTATTGCCATTTTCAGCCAGGAAAGCTTGATAGTGCCTTTGATTCTTGATTTCCTAACAGGAAATGATTTTACAGAAAATCAGTGACAAATTTTTCTTACTTGTGTCAAATAAGAGTAAGTAAAATTTTATGAAATATTTTAATACTATGTCATGTCACTGTTTGTTTAATCAATGATAATTTTCTGTTTTTTTTTTTTTTTTTTTTCAGTTTTTTTGGCTGGGGCTGGGTTTGAACCCGTCATCTGTGGTGTATGAGGCCAGCACCCTACTCCTTTGACCCGCAGGCGCTGCCCAATCAATGATAACTTTCTCTTTGACACTTTGAATTTTTTTGCAGTTTGTTTTGGAAAACTTACAGTTTCTTAGCTAAACTGAAATTTTAGAATGAGATTATTTGTATAAATATTTTATTAATAAATTGTTATTTGTAAGAAAATTTCATATATTTCTATTATAGGGAAAAAAATACAAGGTACTTCATTGCTTTTAAAACATTTTAATTCTTTAGTCAGATCCCAACAAAAACTCCTTTCTCATTCCAGGCTTTTGAAGACCTCAGCAAGTTAATGATCAAGGTCTGTGTCATTTATGTCTATTAAATTCATACCATTTTGAAAATATGTTTTGTTAACAGATACTTTGGGGACTTTTTTTTTCAGTCTTTACTTTTCATTTGACAGGCTAAAGAAATGGTGGAATTATCAAAATCAATTGCTAATAAAATTAAAGAAAAACAAGGAGACATCACAGAAGATGAGGTAAATAGATTCCTTTTCTTAAGGTATTAGAAACTGGATTATATAAATAATGCCATGGGGTTTACCAGTTTGCTTTCTTAATGTAGCGTTTTATTTCTTTTAGGACTTGAGGGGGTGTGTGAAATGTGCTAACAGAAAAAGTCAACCATAAAAATTCTGTTAGTTGTTAGGATTATAGGTTATTTTAATACCCTTTTTATGGAGTATAGAAAACAGAGATATTAAGATGTGTAAGGAGTGGCTGTTTTACACATATCCTTAAGTTTGATGTCTGTTTCATTAAATTTGTCTATAATCTGGTAATAGCCATTTTTCTTTCGAAGTTTTCAGTTGTGTCATTTGGGTTAGATTAAATATAGCATTGTTCTCTTCTCATACCACACTTGTGACGTGACCAAAGTATGAGAGACCTGGATAGGAGAAGAAAGAGAGTAATTAGATGTGTGCAGGGAACTACTAGACACCTGCTCTCTTGTAGTTCACAGCATAGAAACGTATGTGGGTCATTATGAAATCAAGAAACCTAAAATCCATGCAGATGGAAATAGACAAAGCCGTCCCAGCAAGACCAGTAAGCTAAGCAAACTGAAACTTGCATAGGTCAGTCAGAAAGGACCGTGAGCTATGTTTGTTGGAAATGAAATAATGGACCCTAACACAATTGGACTTAAAACTTTCATAGTGATCCACGTAGTAATAGAAAGGGTAGTATGGGAAAAGGGTAGAGGAATCGGGTAGTAGAGGAAAAGGGTATGTATGAAAAAAATTGAGTGGAATTGAATTTATGATGGAAGAATTTTAAATATTGGGGTAGGGAGACTAATTCTGCAGAGTCTTTTAATGCCTTTTCTCCTCTTGTTATAGACCATCAGGTTTAAATCCTACTTGCTGAGCATGGGAATAGCTAACCCAGTGACCAGGGAAACCTACGGCTCCGGCACACAGTACCACATGCAGCTGGCCAAACAGCTGGCTGGGATATTGCAGGTGCCTTTACAGGTAAAAGCTAAACCTAAGTGTTCTTTAAAACTGTGTTAAACTTCTTTTTTTTTTTTTTTTTGAGACAGAGTCTCAGTCTGTTACCCTTGGCAGAGTGCTGTGATATAATAGTTCACAGCAACCTCAGACTCTTGGGCTTAAGCAATCCCTTGCCTCAGCCTCCTGAGTAGCTGGGACTACTGATGCCCCCTACAACAGCTGGCTAGTTTTTCTATTTTCAGTAGAGACTGGGTCTTGCTCAGGCTAATCTCGAACTCCTGAGCTCAAGCAGTTTACCCAGGTTGGCTTCCTAGAGTGCTGGGGTTATAGATGTTAGCCACCACGCCTGGTACTGTGTATTCTGTCATCAGAAATGTCAACAGGAGCATAACTCCTTTTATGATGTAGTTATTGTCAACTGACATGGGTTTTTTTCTTTCAGGAATATTACATTAGTTCAGTGTACTTACTTAGGATTCTTTGTCATCTTCTAAATCGTTTCAATTTTCATCTTAGACATTATTAACTTTCTAAATCTATTAATATTTGATATGAAGCTTATTTGCAAAAAGGAATACATGGTGTCTCTCTGTATAGATATATTTCCATCTAATCTTTAGTATACAGTACTATTAATAATTCCATAATATAGATTCATCTTCTAGTCTTATAGTATTCAGGCAATTAGAAATTTATGCCAAAGTAGAATAGCATAATAAACCCCATGTACCCAACACCCACTTCATCTGTAAACCAGCTTCCACTCAAAATGATTTTAAAGCATACCCCAGATATCACATCACTTTCTCTGTAAATATTTTAGTATGTGGCTATAATGATTAAGTCTTTTTTAAAAACAACTATTATCCCATTTTACATCTAAAATATTAAAAATTTCTTAGCATCTCAAATATCTAGTTAGTATTCATAGTTTTTCTTATAGTTGGTCTGTTTAAATCAGGGTACATTAGAGCTACTCAACGTCTCTCAAATTTGGTGTGTGTGCTTTTTAAAATTCCATGAGTTTCTCATTCTCTTGTCTCTTCTTATCTCCCACCTCACAATGTATTTATTAAAGAAACAAATTGTCCTATAAAGTGTGGTTCCCTGACCTACGTATTTCCTGTAAACTGGTAATAGAGGTCCATTAGGGTTTTTTGCTGGCAAGAACATTTTACAGAGGGCATTGTGCATACCCATCAGGAGGCGTGTAATATCTGATTGCCGTGTGTGTGTGTGTGTGTGTGTGAGAGAGAGAGTGATGTTAGCATACACTACTGATGACCATAACCCAGTACTTCATCAGGGTATGCAAAAAGATGATAGACTTATTTAATTCTACCCTGTCTTCATTTATTAGCTGAAATAACTCAAAATATTTAAATATACTTTTTGAAGCATGGCAGATAACTTCTTTTCATCTAAGTAAATGTTAAAATAGGAATAATGACATTAAAGTTCAAATACTGAATTTGGAGTGCTTTGTGGTATGTAAATAGGCTCTCCTGTGTGTAGTTTTTCAAAGCTTCTTAAGAAATTTTCTGGTTTCTGATTTCACTCTATGATTCATATTAAGAAATGCTAACTGGTGCTAATATAACAAAATTTTTCTTTAACAGGAACGAGGGGGAATCATGTCACTGACGGAGGTATACTGTTTAGTAAACCGCGCTCGAGGAATGGAAGTAAGAATAGAATATTTAGACATTCTTTAACTAAGTTTAGACTTTCTTGATACAATACAGATTCCCTTACAATGAATACAATTTGAGGAAGGGTTGCAAATATCAAAGCTATTTTGAGAAGCAGTGTGGTACAATGAGAAGCACTGCTCTGGGGTCTAGGAGGGTAGCTTCTGTTCTTTTTTTTTTTTTTGAGACGGAGCTTCAAGCTGTCCCCCTGGGTAGAGTGCCATGGCATCACGCTCACAGCAACCTCCAACTCCTGGGCTCAAGCGAGTCTCCTGCCTCAGCCTCCCAAGTAGCTGGGACTACGGGCGCCCGCCACAACGCCTGGCCATTTTTTAGTTGCAGCCATTATTGTTGTTTGGCGGGTCCGGGCTGGGGATTCGAACCCGGCACCTTAGGTGTATGTGGCCGGCGCCCCAGCCGCTTGAGCCACAGGCTCCGAGCCGGTAGCTTCTGTTCTTGATTTTGCCACTGATTTGCTGAGTGACCTTCAGTAACTTTACTTAACCTTTCTGAAACTCAGTCTTTTTCTTTTTAAAAATATATTTACTTATAATTACACATAATTATATATTTCATGGGGTTCTGTGTGAAACTGCATTGCAAGTGTGCATGGTATGATTAAACCAGGGTAATTAGTGTATCTTTTACTTTCAACACTAATCATTTATTTGTGATGATGGTATTCAAACCCTCTCTTCCGCTATCTTGACACACATGCTGAATTATTACTGTCTGCAGTCTCCCCAAGGTTCTGCATAGGAGCGAGCCGATGCGATGTTTGTCTTTCTGTGTCTGTCTTATTCCACATGACATGATGCCCTCCAGGTTGATCCATGTTCTTGCAAACCACAGCATTTCATTCTGTTTATGGCTGAATAGAACTCCATTTTATATGTATACCACCTGTTCTGTATCTCATCGGCTGAGATGGGAGCTTGGGCTGATTCCACAACTTGGGTATTGTGAATGGTGGTGTAGTGAGCACAGGGTGCAGGGGCCTCTCTGACATCCGGAGTTCATTTTCTTTTGATGTCTTAGTAACAGGATGGCCGGATCACATGGTGGTTCTATGTCTAATTTTCTGAGAAGCTCTATACTGTGGTATGTAATAGCTGTGCTGATTACATCCCACCAACAGTGTGTAAGAGTGCTGCTTTTGCACATCCTTGCCAGCATTTAGGGACTCAGTTTTCTTATCTTTAAGGGTTTAGACTGAGTGATACCTTTCAGCTCTAACAGTGTCTCCGTTGTAATGAACAAGGTTATTCAGGAAACCTTTCCTCTGTGGTAGCTAACTCTTCAGTCACCTTGGTTGGACACAGACTGCCTTGTGGGTGATGGAGAAGGAGTGCTGCCCTGCCCTGATGGCTGGGTAACAGCTCAGGGACAGGAGCTGTGCTTCAGCTCTCGTCACCCCCCGCATCCAGATATCCTTGGCTTCCAAGGTTCTATGCAAGTGTCCTTTGTGCTCCAGCAGTCAAAGTCCTGTGGTATTAGCAGTCACCTCCATGCAAATGAATCACCTAAGCCTCTGCTCTGTGTTTTTATTCAGATAATTACTATCAGTTAGTTCTTATCTTCTGGGCACTCTGCATGTCTTACCTTATTTTTCCTCCCAATAACTCAATATATTGAGTTACTTTTACTATTCTTATGGAGGGGATAATTTGGGGATTATTATTTGGGGATAATTTGATGATTAGGGCCACACCCAGAGACAGTAGTTTGACAGGGATTTGGACCCAGGCTGGGCTGGCTCTGGAGCCACCATCCTGTTTGACTCAAAGCTGTATTTGTCACCATTGTATTGTGTTGAATTGTTAAATTTGCACTGTCCCTAAGGGGATAGCCACTAGTTACATCACTACCAGTGATGAATGTGAACTGAAAGTATACTTAATCCAAGCTGAGATATGCTGTACTAGGTTTAGAAGACGTTCTACAAAAAGGACATGTTAAATATCTTATTAATAATTTTTTATATTGATTACATGTTGAATTGGTACTATGTTTAACCTGTGGGGCTAAAGAAAATGTTTGTGTTAAAAATTTTACCTGTTTCGTTTTACTTTTTTTTTTTTGAGACAGAGCCTCAAGCTATCCCCCTGGGTAGAGTGCCGTGGCATCACGCTCACAGCAACCTCCAACTCCTGGGCTCAAGCGAGTCTCCTGCCTCAGCCTCCCAAGTAGCTGGGACCACAGGCGCCCGCCATAATGCCCGGCCGTTTTTTGGTTGCAGCCATCATTGTTGTTTGGCGGGCCCAGGCTGGGGATTCGAACCCGCCACCTTAGGTGTATGTGGCTGGCACCTTAGCCGCTTGAGCCACAGGTGCCGAGCCTCGTTTTACTTTTTAAGTGTGGCTACTATAAACTGTAAAATTACGTGCGCAGCTTGCATTATATTTGGGGGGTGATAGCACTACTTTAATGAATAGAACTCTTTAGCTCCTTAGTTAATCTATTTTGCCTTGCAATGATTAAGTCACCTAAAATTTTTGATAAGTGGTAATTTTTTTATTTTCTCTTCTATTTTAGTGACTATTGTAATTACATAGCATTACTTTATTAATTTGCAGTGTAAACTGGATTTTTTTCCCCATTAGTTGCTCTCACCAGAAGATTTAGTAAATGCGTGCAAAATGCTGGAAGCACTGAAATTACCTCTCAGGTAAAGGAACCTCTGCCCGGAGTTTGTCACTTGTAACCATGATGCTATACAGGGTGGGACGGGAAAGCTTGGCAAGCTTACTATCCCAAGTGCCAGCCAAAGTATTGTATTGCCCTCTTAAAATTGTTACCTGTGACCAGAATTCATCCGGCACCACACCTGTCTTCTGTTATCCTGGTTTTCATCTTTGCCAGGGCGAGGCATGTTCTAACAGGGTTAGTAAGCAGACTCTTATCCATTTAGAGCAGTGGTTCTCAACCTTCCTAATGCCTTGAACCTTTAATACAGTCCGAAGGGGTTGTGACCCACAGGTTCTCTGATTAGAGGAATGAAATAAAAACATGGCTCCTCCCATGAGATGAGAATAGCTACCTTCTCTTCCTTTGGACATTTTGTGTTACTGTCCAGAGAAATTCAGTTGTGAGTTTTATCTTCCTTATCTTTGGGTTACAATAAAAGGTAGTCATTTTCATTTAACATTAGATTCTAGTTTTTAATTTTATTATCTGTGTGTTCTTGAGCTTTTTAGTTATGCCATAGTTGCTTGTGTTTGACAAGTTTTAAATGTTGCTTTGTGTTAATCTTGCCTTCATTCCTGGGCATCAAAGAAAGCAACAAAGATATGCTTCTCTTTATGCTGAATATTCTAGATGATTCTGCTTTGTTCTTGCCTCTGTGGTTTTTAGGCTCCGAGTTTTTGACAGCGGTGTCATGGTAATCGAGCTGCAGTCCCACAAGGAAGAGGAAATGGTGGCCTCGGCCCTGGAGACAGTATGTGAAGCCAGTTTTCTCCAGTCACTAGAGTTGCCACCAAGACCTAAGTCCGTAGCAACTTGAGAAACAGGGTGTCATTTTGAATTTAACTTTATTAAAAAGTAACAAATATATGCACACCCAATTAAAAATGGCTCATCATTAACAGTGAATCAGTATTTATCAAAGTTATTTGTTAAGGGCTTTTTGAAACTTGACACTTTTTTTATTAAATCATAGCTGTGTACATTAATGCAGTCATGGGGTATATGAAACTTAACACTCTAACATCTTACGAGGAGAATTAGAATTAGTGAAGTGCTTTCTTTTCTATTGAGGCTTAGTGTTGAGAACAGCTTTCTAAGTTTGTTTATCAGAATTTCAAACAGGTGAACTTTATCTTTTAGTAATACCTATGTAAACAGCATTGTAAAATCCCACAAGTGGTTTTGTGAAATAATTGCTTCAAAAATATGAAAAGCAACTGTAGTTTAGATGGATTTTTACTGGCCAAACTCCTAATATTTCTCATCAGCGTACTTCAAATATTAACTATCTTCATTGCCTCTATGGTGTACAGGTATAATTTGAATAACATTTATTATACTTCTCCTTTTTAACTAGATGAGCCCCCACCCCCAAGCCTAACTATTTTTACCGCATATTTTAACCTGAGCTTACATATATATAAGTTTCCTTTATTGGGTCGTATAATGTGTACTCAATTAGAATTTATTATATGTTCCTTTTCAGGCTATGAAATAGATTGTAGGCTTTATTACAGTGCCTTTGTCATATAGAGAGAACTTCTTCTTGATAGCTTAGCTTATACTAAGATACAGCTTATAATGTATCTTTTCTGGGTTCTTCAACTTTTGTAGGATTAAGCATTAAGATTTATTTCTATAGTGAATATTCTTTGGGCAGTAGAAAATTCAGTAAATTATTTCCTGCATATTCTGGTATACATTCTGCTTAAGGTTAGTACCTAGGTATCCTAAATTAATCACAGTTTTTTCTGCTATATTTCTTTGTTAGGTTTCAGAAAAGGGATCTCTAACATCAGAAGAGTTTGCTAAGCTTGTGGGAATGTCTGTCCTCCTGGCCAAAGAAAGGTAAGTAAGATCCTTGCCCTTCATTACAACATAATATATATTTGTATTTCGGCATGGACATATAATTCTGGGTTTTTTCCTTTTTTTTAGGTTGCTGCTTGCAGAGAAGATGGGACATCTTTGCCGAGATGACTCAGTGGAAGGCTTGCGTTTTTACCCAAATTTATTTATGACACAGAGCTAAGGGTTTTCCATTTGAAATCATTTTTGTCCATGTGCTTGCATTCATGTAGAGGTTGTATGACATTGAACTAAGAGACAAACCCTGATCACCCAGGAATTTATTGGAACTTCACAATAGAATGTAAAAAACTCTCTTCATTTCTGCTTAAGTAGCATGATTCAGGAAGATTATTTAGGATACACATAGGAAAATAAGAAAAAATGAATGCCAGTATGGATTTAAAATCATGTTATAGTTGTGTAGAACCTTAAGAGTTTAACTTGAAATATGGTGAATTTTAATTTGATCTTCAAATCTCACCATTCTATAAAGAAGGGAATTTAGTTTTGCAGAGAAGAGAAAGAAAGGTGGCCTGTTGGGACAGCTTGGCTTATTATTTATAAGTGAAGTTATTCTCTAGCCCTCCTGTGTCCATTTTTTTTTTTTTTTCCAGTTTCTGGCCAGGGCTGTGTTTGAACCTGCCACCTCCAGCATATGGGGCCAGTGCCCTACTCCTTTGAGCTACAGGCGCCACCCCATTTTGGGATTTTTTTAATGAGGGAAGTTATACCCTCTAGGCGGGGCTGAAGAACAGCACAACATTGGAACAGAGTATGGAACTGCAGCGTGCCATGTGAGGCTCCTGTTAGGGCTTTTAGAAACAGTCATAGGCATGTCTTCAGCAGACTAAGTAAAACACCTTTGTGAAAGGAGAGAATTTTATTGGACTTAATATATATTCTAACTAGTTTCTTTTAGTTTTTTTAAATGATGATTTCATGGCATTTAAAGAATGCAGCTATGTCATTTTGTGAAAAAAATGCTGTGGATTTTGAAACTCAATTAGAAAGCTGTATAAACATGCCCAGAGTTATGATTACAAAATTTGGAAGGTGAACAGCTCAGGAATTCCCTAGACTGTTGTGCAGGTGGAAGGGCAGAGTGAACCTTTCATAGCTTTACAGGAAGCTTCGTGTTCTTTTACCTCAAAGCCACAGACAGGAAATAGAAAGTAGAAAACTAATAGCTTCTTTTTCCTTCAAGGAGTTTCAACAACAAACTTTAAAAAAATCTATCATATTCCAGCAGTATTTTTTTCTTTGCTCCGTAATTATAAATTATGTGGAGTATTCTAGTAAAACGTTTTATTGAGAGAAGAGAAGCTGGCTGATGCTGCTTAGAGATGGCATGAATTTTACAGAGGACTGCCTGACTTCCTATCACTATGCTGCCTGCAGTATGCTGGCACTATCTCAAACTCAGGGATCCCACAGGACAGGAGACTCTCTTTGTGAGATGGAGTGGGAAGTGGAAGGGTAATGATGGTTTTGCCTAAGCCTCCAGAAGGCATAGGGAGAACCCCTCAGACCAGGAAAAGGGCTGCCCAGGGTCACATCTGGGACCCGTAGGTTTCCCAAACCTGTCACTGACTCTTCATTGTAGTGACAGATCCCCTAAGTCCCCCATTACCCAGCCTCAGGTTTATCTGGAGGATAAGTCAGCATCTGGCCCCCAAGTCTTTTAGGATCGGCTGGACCACTGTATGCATTTGTATGTCTTGCCTCCTCTGGGCTGCACTTTCTGTTTCACCCTGCTCTGGCAAACTTGTGCACACATACACAGGAAATATCTCATCTGGCTAAGATTTTTAACACATTAATTCCCATGTTAGTTGTATTTACCTTACACGAGTTTTGAGCCCAGGGCCTCAGGAAGCATATATAACTCACAGGTCTTTGACCTAATAAAATGCTAATTTATTAATGCTAATAAAATAAAAATAAAAGGCCACAAGGGAATTTTTTTTTCTAGTGTGGCATTCAGTGTGTTAAAACTTACAAGGATAAATATTAATCTGTATCGCCAGATCAAATGAGTTGCAAATAAGATTATTGGAACTACTAGATCTAGCTCTAATGATTTGGATTCATATACTTATTTACTTAAGTGTGACAACTGATTAACAAAAGTGTAGCAATCTGAATTATATAAGGTGAACTACAGAGGAAGAAAAGTAACATGAATATATTTTACAAATATCATATTAATTAAAAAGTATGATTGATTTTATTATTTTTAAAGTGGGCATTCTTCACTATTTTCAGATCTGTGTGTGTGTGTGTGTGTGTGTGTATATATATATATATATAAATTTTTTTTTGACAAATAATGTGTCCTTTTCCCTCTAACATAGGAATTATTTTTAAATACAATGAATTAGGCCCTAAGTGCAAAACTGTTCTGTCTCGGTGCTCACTGGAATGATTATTCCTTTTGCTTTCCTAACTTTGCTCCTTAGGAGCATGAATTTTGTAGCTTTATGGCAATGGTATATTTTAGTCATTTACTGTCAAGAATAAATTTTTTACTTTGATACAAAGTAAAGATTGTTTTCAGGGTTACATGATTGGTGTTAATGTATATACAGTAAAATTAGTACAAAAATTTAAAATGATTTTTCTTAACTTGGTGTTCTTTTTAAGTATTCTTTGAAAAATATATAAAAGTGGTAAGGCTTTGATCATACTAAGCCAGTATGTTAAAAGTTCTTTTAGATTTCATAATCAAGACAGTGCTTGATTAAGCTCTTAGTATTTTAGTTGTGTTAAAAGGATGGGAAATGAGTCATGAATTGTTCTGGTATTTAAAAATTCTTGATATGAATTCCACTGTTGATCAACCATGTGTATTCGTATGAATGTACTTTCTCTTGTTCCCTGTTTTCAGACTAATCTTAGAAGACGTCGATTTATCGTGTCATTATTCTCATCCTCAAGTACTTAAAATGGTTCTCTTTTGTCCAACAGTCTAAGAGTCTTCATTGTGGTAGGGTGGAGTCACGACTCCTAAGGTGGTTAGGTTTTAAAGACAGTGCCTGAGAACAAAATTGAGCACGCTCAAAATGATCCTTGAAAATCTAAATTACCAATATAAGTTTCTTTATAGTCTTAAAAGTTTGAATCCCTTGGGAATGTACATAGGTATGAATATATTATGCATATCGGAAGTATAATGTATAATAAAAACTGCGTATCAACAATTCACTTTCATAGCATTAATAATTACACTATTTAAATGTGTGTGTCTTTTGCCAATAGATATGGTTGTATTTATGTAAATTTATTGCTAACCCCTTCCCTGATGTTAGATCTAGAGTGTAAGCTCCATAAGGGCAAAAGTTTTTATCTGGTTTATTCATGGATCTATCCTCGGATGCTAGAACAGAGCCTGGAACATACTAAGCATTCAGTGAATATTTACTGAGTGAATGAACTCTGATGTAGCTACCTTTTAGAATTTGGTTCCACTTTATCCCATTTTAGTTGCCATTCAGTTCAATGAAAAGAAAACTTTTTGAATGCATATCAATTTTGTATGAGGAACTTTGTGGAGCAGTAAAGGGAGCGGGTGAATAGTATGTGGTCTTGCCATTAAGAAAAGGGTTGCCTAATTGGGGAATTAGACATGTAAGCAACTTTCATTGAAGATGGAATGAAGGAAGTGCCATGGAAGGGGCATGGGAGCCATGCTGTGAAGGGCAGAAGAGGGAGCCTTTAGTACTGAGGGAGGCCCTGTGGGAGAGGAAGGTCCTGGTAAACAAGGCCCAGAAGGACCAAGGGTTCTCAGAAAGTGGAAGGCATTGGGTCCAGGAAACAGCGTGAGGTGTGCACTGCCTGTTTCTAGACACACTAACCTTGTCCGTCCACATTTCCTGTTAGTACTTCTTCCCACTCACTCACCTACCACCGCCCCCACTAATCCAAATTATATACTGCTCAATCCCACCTGCTGTAGAAAACCCTGTGTCCAGTACACCTCTATTATTTTTTTGCTCCATAAAAGTTGTTTCTTTGTATTTTGTTTTGTTCTCGTTAATCTTGATGCCATAAGAAAATAGAAAAATTGGGATTCTTTGAGTTCAAAGATTGTTCATTATCTGCAGTCTCCAACCCCCAGCTGTGGATCTGTTAGGAGCTGAGCTCCACCTTGCTGCCCTGCCCCTTCCCTGTCCACTTCCTCTCTCCACCTCATCCATGGAAAAATTGTCTTCCAGGAAACTTAGGAGCAGGGTGGCAGAGAACGTGAGAGTTTGGGCCATTCAAACAAAGCAGCTTCATCTGAGCTCCGCCTAGCACCGCATTCCCCCCCCCCCCATGGAAAAACCGTGAAATCCATCCCTTGTGTCAAAAAGGTTAAGGACCCTTGTTACATACATTTCTTTTGAATTCTCACAGGCCTAGGTCAGCAACTGTACATGGTAAATTCCTAGTGAGGTACTAACTGAACTGAGTGATTGTTGGATTATAAATTGTGTCAAGAGTTGACTAGCAGACCCTAAATCTGTGCCTTTTACCTTCTTCCCAAGAAAACAACCAGACCAGTCATGGCTCTGAGATCTGTGTGTCTTATTTAAATTCTATGACAAGAGCCATAACTGTGATGTGGGAAGCACCACCGAAAAGTCTGATTGGCTTGGGGCCCATAGCTCAGTGGTTAGGGTGCCTGGCAGGTTTGAACCCAGCCCCAGGCATGCTAAACAACAATGACAACTACAACAACAACAACAAAATAGCCAGGTGTTGTGGTGGGTGCCTGTAGTCCCAGCTACTTGGGAGGCTGAGGCAAGAGAATCGCTTAAGCCCAAGAGTTTGAGGTTGCTTGAGCTATAACACCACAGCACTGTACCAAGGGCGATGAAGAGATACTCTGTCTCAAAAAAAAAAAAAAAAAAAAAGAAAGAAAAGTCTTAATACATACGTAAGATCTTGTTATACAGATTGTGATTACAGGGTGAAAATTAGATCATTTGTGTTGTTCTTTGTGTCTTGAAAGGAAATCATGAGTCAGTTACAGCTTTCATCTCATCTCAGAAGTATTACCAGCTGCTGACCCAGAAAGAGAATTCTTTTTTTTTTTTTAGACAGGGTTTCGGTAGAATGCTGTGGTGTCATAGCTCACAGTAAACTCAAACTCTTGGGCTCAAGTGATCCTTTTGCCTCAGCCTCCCCAGTAGCTGGGACTATAGGTGCTGCAACAATACCCAGCTACTTTTAGAGAAGGGGTCTTGCTCTTGCTCAGGCTGGTCTCCAAGTCCTCAGCTCAAGTAATCCACCAGCCTTTGGCTCCCAAAGCACTAGGGTTATAGGCGTGAGCCACCGTGCCCAGCCAGAAAGAGAATTCTTGATAGCCATATTAGTTTTAGTTCAGTATTGGCAAGATCATAATCACTATTCTTTTGAAAGCTTTTTTTCTCCTTTCACTATTATGTTGCCTTTTGGAAAAAAACTGAATTGTATCTTAATTGTCTGATAAAGACAGTAATATAGTTTGATAAGAATTCTAATGACAAAATTGACCAAGTATCTTAATAAAGCTACTATTTTAAAAATGACCTATAGCTACTTGTATCTGGATTACTCCCACCCCTGAAGAGTGGCTTTTTAGGGGACACTGTTCTGCATAATTAGAGCAAGTTGCCATCTATATGTTTTACTTAATCAGCACATATCTAAATAAATATTTCAAAATGACTATTATCTGTGCCATTTATAATACGGGGAAGGAGGGATTATGTCATTTCCTCAAGGTCATTAAGTAGGGCTGGGATTTAACCCAGGATTTAGCTTTTGCTTCCAAAACTGAAAACCCAGAGTTCTTGAGACATGTATGTGAAAAGGAATCCCAACCTTGAATTGATGAATAGTTACTAGAGAAGATAATTCTACTGGCAATGAAACTGGATGATTACCTTAAAGCCTTCTTTGAAAATTTGAGTTTTGTTAGTACTGTTAGTATAGAGTTGTATGTAATTGATAAAGTGTAAGTACTTAAAAATTTCGGTACTTCTGATTACATGTAAGTAAATAAGTTTGCTGTCTTTTAAAAAACGAAATGATAGGTTCAAGGTCCTGCAAATGGCATGCTTTTAAATGTTTTAACAATTGAGGTAAAGTTTACAAACACTAAAACGTCACATTTTCAACTGGATGAGTTTTTACAAGTGCATACCCTAGTAAATGCATGTCAACAGAACACATCTGTTACCCCCTGGACGGTTCCTCGGTGCCCCCTGGGTTGCCTGCTCACCAGAGGCCACAACCGTGCTCTGATTTCCATTATCAGACGTTAGTTTTGTCCATTAAGTGGTACATTTTGTGTTAAAAAAACAAAAAAAAAAAGCAAATGGTAATCTGCCTTGCAGTTACTTAGTAACCGGCACAGCTGTTAAACAAAGTGGACTCCATCCTCTCATTCTTTTTAAAAGACAACGTTTTAACACTTTGCAAAGTAGAGTTTTTTAAAAGGGGCAGTTATTTTTAATTTACTTAAATACACTGCGTTCTTTTGAAATCCTTCAATAATTTTCGGTAAAGAATGTCTTTGGCTATTGAAACAATTTGTTTCTGTGGTCTTCCAGAAGAAAATGACACTAGGGGAGTCGGAAATGAATTTGAAGTGTCAGGAACCTGCCGGTTCGCCCCGGAAACCCTGGCCGGAGCTGTGCGGGTGTGTGGTGCGCGCTGGGGGGAACTTGCAGTCTGCGGTGGCCGAGCCCTTCCCCCGAGCCCCTGGCCGGCCGGGCGCGCCCCTCGCGGGTTTCCAGTCCCGCGGCCCGCGAGCTGGGGGCGGGCAGGAAGGGATGCGCGGCCCAGCAGGCGGGGGCGGGCCGCGCCCTGTCCCCCGGGCCCTCCCTTCTCGGACCGTCGGGGGCGGGCCCGGGCGGGGCTGCGGGAGCCGCGCGCGCGGGGCTGGGGCGCGCAGTCGGGGACGGGTGCTCGGTCTCCGCCTCTGGCTACCGAGGCCTCCTGGCCGCCGCGCCGCCTTGCCTGGCCAGTGTGGGGCTGCGCCCGCCAGTTCCCAGAGGTAAGAAGAGCGCTCGCGGGGACATTTCCGCTGGGTCGGGAAATGCCGCGGGGACCCTGCACCTCCCCGCAGCCGGGAGGCGCAAGTGGATGTTTGCGTACTCTCCACGCGCTGACCTCGGTCCGAAGGGACAGGCTGTAACCAGGCGTCGGTCTCCACGCGTCGGAGTCCCTACTTTAACCTAACCGGGGTCTCCCCTGGCGCAGGTGTTGCTGAGACCGGCCGTACAGACCCGAGTTGAGTCTACATTGTTGAGATGTCTTGGGATACTAAGCATTCCAGAGAGAGAGAGAGAGAGAATCCTTCCTGGGATACAAACAGTATGAGAGAATAAGCATTTCAAAGTGATCCTCATTTGTGCTGATGACAACGAGGGTTACATTTCCAACCATGAACTTGACTTGGTGGCCTTTGGAAACCCGAGTAGGTGGGGGAGCGCACAGATTCTCAGGCAAACTGCGCGCAACCCGTGGGACTGGGGCAGAGCGGACGCGACTGAATATACAAATAAATCCTGTCTATGCCCGCTGCTTTGGAATTAGGGATTTCCTCCTCCTAAATATTATTCTTAAATATAAACTCAAGTACGTGCGTGTTTGTCAGAAGGGAGAAAAATCACTTTGCTTCTTTTTGTTTTTACTTTTATTTGACAAGTCATTGGTCCCAGGGATATTAGCCTAATTCATTTTCTGTAGCTATTAAGGGGTATATAGAAGTTTTGGTTTCCACAGGAACCTTGTGTCTAAGGTTGAGTGATGCTATTAGCCTTTGAGCCTATTTACTTCTCCTACCCTTCAAAACTGATGCATTTAGAATTTCCCTATAAACTTTTATGTATGTGAATGTTATATGAAAGTATTTTCAAATGTGTGTAAAGAATACCTAAGTTATTATTTTCTTAGGAGGATTCTCAAGCCAAACATTGTTAAGTAGCCAGTTGTGGTATTGGGAGAATTTCAAAGAAAATAAGCAAGTAAGGTTGAGGAAGAAATTATAGAAGCATGTTATGATTATGCTATATGACAAGAATTAATTGATACGTAACCTGATTTGTTTTATAAATCCATTTCCATTTAGTTCTAAACATAGATTATCACGCAATGCTGTGTTTATTGGTCATTTTCATAGAAGGAAATTGTGTTATAATCACAGTCATTTATGATGAGGGATTTAACTTCTGTGGTGGTAAAAGTAAGCAATAGTAAAAGCAGCAAGACTGGGGGCTTGCTTCTCCTCAGTGATTTAAAGGAGGCGTTTTAATTGCCCAAAGTGCCCACACTTGCCCAAGGGATTCAGTGCTGCTTTCTGCAAGGGCCTGTCACTAGCTTTCCCAGGCCATCCGTGTTCAAGGGAATCTGTGGGTAATTGCACTAAAACAGAATTTTCTGGGTTTTTTTTCTTTCTCTTTTTCCATTTCTTTCTCCTTTTTTTCTCTGGGGAAAGGAGGGAAGCCTAATTATTCACATAATTGTGCTTCATATCTCTGGTTCCCTTTCAGGAAGTACAGTATTTCCTTTGTTCAGGCAGCTCATGCTGAAAGAAAGCTAATAGAGACACACTAATTTCCTTTCCACTGGATTTGCTTATTTCAACCAGTCCTCTTAATTCTATTGATTTCTGTTCTTATCTGAAGGGATGTAGCATGTATTTGGAATGTAATATACTTATTACAATATATTAACTAAGAGTAATTGGAACTGTAAACATTAAGAAAATATATATTTGGTTAAATTTAAAGTCACAATTTGTTAAATTCTAGTATGAAAAAAATTGTTCTTAAATGCCTTGCATCTTATTCTATGGTCTGATATTCTGTTTATATCAAAGCAAGTGCTTCCTCCCACAATTGACTCTGAACCATAGGCCAACAGGGTATTCCCTGCCCTCCTAGGTGGTCTGGGGAGATTGCTGTGTGAATCATCTGTCTCCTGGCACATCCCAGCAGCAAAAAGCATTGCATGACTGACAGAGATGATAATTGTAATTTATCTGTTTTCTCCTTACACATCCTAAACAAGGAAGTCAGAGCCACATGGCGTTCAAGTTTAATTGTAATACTGTGGGTATCATATTTATTTATTTATTCATTCATTTATGTATTTATTTAAAGACAGAGTCTTACTACTCTGTTGCCCTGGGTAGAGTGCTGTGGCATTGTAGGTCACAGCAACCTCAAACTCTTAGGCTCAAGTGATCCCTTTGCCTTAGCCTCCCAAGTAGCTGGGACTTTAGGTGCCTGACAACAATGCTGGGCTAGTTTTTCTACTTTGGGTAGGGATGGGGTCTTGCTCTTGGTCAGGCTGCTCTTGAACTCCTGAGCTCAGGCAATCCATTGACCTCAGCTTCCCAGAGTGCTGGCATTATAGGTGAGCCACTATGGCTGGCTTGTATCTTTTAAAAAGCTTTGACTGTTCCGGTTGGTGCCCGTGGCTTAAAGGAGTAGGGCACCAGCCCCATATGCCAGAGGTGGCAGGTTCAAACCCAGCCCCGGCCAAAAAAAAAAAAAAGTTTTGACTGTTTCATATAGTGCCTGGGAATCAAGAAATGAAGCAATATGATAACACACCACTTGTGCAAGGAAGTGTTAATAGCCTACTTTTTGAAGCCAGGCAAGGATGGTTTGGATGTAAACAACACAATGCTAAGTGAAAATTTGGCAAAAGTTTAGTAAATTGATCAGTGTGAAATGCCAAACAGATAAATAGTGTGAAAATGTACACTTTATTATCTAAACTGACTATTAGCTGTGATAAAATTAAGCAAATAATAAAAAACTCTCCACTTAAGAAGAGACTTCAGTGTTTTGCAAAGATAATCTTGGTGCTGAGCATAACTGATTGTTTTTGACAGGTGAGCTACAGTAGAATGAAAGGGACTTGTGTAATTACAGGTGATTGCCCCTGGGAAAGTTAATGTCCTCACTAGTTTCCTTACAGTATCATTTAGGATGTTTGACTTCTCGGCTAGTTTTGTCATTTTATGATTACTGTTTTATGAATCACATTGAATGGAGCCATCACTTTTTTGAGGTTCTAATTTCAGGTGGTTTTTGTTTGTTTGTTTTAAGTAACAGTTTGGATGTTAGAAAGGACATGAGGAGACTAAAGACCTGGGATTGTGCTGATCAGAATGAAACCAATGTTGAAAGACTTTTCAAATCTGTTGTTGGTGCTGCTCTGTGACTATGGTGAGTATTATTGTAAGCATACTTAATGCTGTAGGTGGCAATAAACTTAAGTGTGAGGTTTATAAGTGTGTTATATTGATTCCCTTCCTGGAGGAGGCAGAGTGGGCCTGTAATGCAGGGCCCTTTAAGGTGTGATCCTCACAACTCTGCTCCTCTTAAGGTGTTTTAGAGGTTTGGCACGATTGATTGAAATTTCACTTTAAACACATTTTAGCTCTTGCATTTTAACAAATTGGAGACAAGCATGTTACCTTGAGTTCTCTTTGATTAATTTCTGGTAATTCAGTATAATAAATCACTTCCTCTCCCCCCCACAGCAGTGATGTTCTGCATATTGAGGTTCTATGTAAGATTTCCCTTGATGCGAGAATTTTGAAGCTTGAGTATCTCTGGAACCCATCTGAATTTCAGTCATGACAAATTTCTTAGTCTCTTTAAACCTTAGCAATAATATTGACTTCACGGGGTTGTTGTGATACAATAAAATCAAGAACGTGAAACATCTTGAACATCCGAGCATATAGTAGATGCTTAAAGTTAGTTCTCCTCATTCAGTTTGTTTCCACTTTTAGAGTTTTATACAACCACTGAATCAATAGAGTCAACAATATGACATAATCTTCATTACTTTTGATGGTTTTCAGATGCTTCAGAGACATCTAATCAGTTGGTGTTGTGGGAGTGGAAATTGTTTTCAAATCTGATGAAAAAATTGTGTTGTGATCTGAGAATACTGGCTTGTATTCTTGATCAACGTCACAGCCAGTTAAATGGGCCAGAGCATGTTGCTGTTCTTTTCATTCAGTAGCTGTCCCTTCTCAGTCTTTTAAGAAGTTTATTTAGGCCAGGTACACTGGCTCATGCCTGTAATTCTAGCACGCTGGGTGAGGTGGGTGGATTGCTTGAGCTCAGGAGTTCAAACCATCCTGAGTAAGAGTGAGGCCCCTCTCATCTCTTCTAAAAATAGAAAAACTAGTCCAGGATAGAGCGCTCCTATAGTGCTCACTCCTATAGCACCAGCTACTTGGGAGCCTGAGGCAATGAGATTGCTCAAGCCCAGGAGTTTGAGGTTGCTGTGAACTGTGATGCCACTGTACTCTACCCAGGATGACAGAGTGTTTTGTCTCAAAACAAAAACAAAATCAAAAAAATTTTAATTAAACAAGAAGATACTTTATTCATGAACAACTGATGTGAAATTTAATTCTTTCAAAGTAATTCATTCCTACCTAAAAATAGATTGCTTTAATAATGGCCTTCTACAAAAATGTGTAGGTCTTCTTGGTTTCACAGTGATAAATAAAACATAAATACTCTCCATTTAAATTAAGTATTCAGGGATGTTTATAGTTGTTAAGAGCAAGATACGTTACTAGAATATAAAATAAAAGTTGAATGAGCATAAAACCGAATGTAGAGGATGAATGGATAGGTCACTAATGGAAAGGAAGGGATTTTTGTATTTATGTTTTTCATCTCTACTTCCTATCGATCAAAATATACCATTGCCAGTTAGGGTTTTTTTAAAGCTACATGCCTATGTAGAGACACTGCTTACTTTAAACACAATAAAGAAATGGGGCAAGGGGAAAACAAAGCATAGAGAAAACTATTATAGTATTATCAGGACATAGAAGTTTTCTAAATGAGGATGTGTTCTTGTCTGTCCTGGAGTAATAACTAGCAAGTTCTCCCTTTATATACACCTCTGATCTGCTGCTGCTGGAATCCGTCAATTGTATCTTTGTTCTCCATTTCCAACTGGGCGTGTGTGTTTCTTTCATTGATTGCCCCCCCCCCATTAAATCAGAATCAGACCTGCCTCACTGACAATTCCTATATTTCTTTCTTTCCTTTTTTTTTTTTTTTTTTTTAGACAGAGTCTCACTTTGTCACCCTTGGTAGAGTGCTGTGGTGTCATAGCTCACAGCAACCTCAAACTCTTGGGCTTAAGTGATTCTCTTGCCTCAGCCTCCCAAGTAGGTGGGACTACAGGCGCCCACCACAATGCTCAGCTATTTTTTGGTTGTAGTTGTCACCATCGTTTGGCAGGCCCAGGCTGGATTTGAACCTGCCAGCTCTGATGTATGTGACTGGCGCCCTAGCCACTTGAGCTATAGGCACTGAGCCAGACAATTCCTATCTTTCATAATAGACTTTCATTAGTTAATGAAGTAGTGTATGTCTCTTAATCTTAAAATGCACCATATAACCATCCTGCCCCCCTTCAGATTCAAATTAATGTGGCTTTGTTCTCAGTCTTAACTTTTGTGGCTGTGTTAAGTGCTGAGTCTCTTTAGCCACTAATTCTTCAAGGTACCAGGTCAGCTCTGTACTCACACACAAGCTGTAGTAGGACCAGCTACCTACATCCCCTTAAGTGAGCTCCATGCAAAAGGGAATAACCCTCAACTTCTATTTTGCCTAAGTGAAAACAACAGCAAGAACTTTATTCTATTGTTTTCAAACAAGTGGCGACTAAGCGTTCAAGTCTACCCAAATTTTAGATATTTTATTTCACCTCATCTCTAATAAGAGCTAAGTGAAGTGCTGAGCTAATTAAAAAATACTCACCTCTGTGTGCCAAGATATTCATGTGCTGATTTTAATAATCATTGACTGAATATCTATAAGGATATTTTAAAGACTGCAGCCAAAACAAAAACACATGAGCCCCTTTGGACATGTGATACATACATCAGATACATACATATCTGATATGTATACATTATGTATGTATTATGAATGTATAATAAGAGTAATAAATTAATATGTACATATGTACATTAAGTTTTCCAAACATAAAGGGCACTATCGTCCCTTAAATCTAGAGTTCTTAGTCTTGCCTAGGCCATTGCCAAATTTTGTCTTCTTCCATATTTTTTTGGAAATGGTTCAAACTAGAAACAAGGATTTTTGTGTGTCTGTTTTCTTTGCACTCTTCCCTTCAGCTGCTTTGTGAGGTCTCTTTTTAAAAGATATAATTGATTCTAGCTGAATGATAATTTGGAAGCTAATAGTCATCTATACTCTTTATGCCAATACCAGTCACTATAATGACATTAAAATTGCTTAGTTACAAGCCTAGTTACTTCATAGTGTTTACTCTATTCCTTGGATTACCCATGCAGAATAAAGTGTCAACCTTTCGTATCCATCTAAAAATTTCTTTTCTTTCTTTTTTTTTTTTTTTTTTTTTGAGACAGAGTCTTATTCTGTTGCCCTGAGTAGAATGCTATGTTGGCATAGCTCATGGCAACCTCAAACTCTTGGGGTCAACCAATCCCCTTGCCTCAGCTTATCAAGTAACTGGGACTACAGGTGCTTGCTACAACACCCAGCTAGTTTTTCTAGTTTTAGTAAAAACAAAGTTTCCCTCTTGCTGAGGCTGGTCTTGAACTCCTGAGCTCAGGCAATCCTTTCAACTTGGCCTCCCAGAGTGCTAGAATTGCAGGCCCACCTAAAAATTTCTGCCTTGCACAAACTGAAGACCCTGGTTCCTTTACGGATAAAAACATTCCCAAATATTTGTCATGAAAATAATAACTTTGAAATAAATTTAGTATCTTATATTTAAAATAATCTAGAGCAGTTTGTATTGTGTCATTTAAATAAAGCTTTCTCTTACTTCACTGTATATCCATTTTCCCTAAATACCTAAAGACCAGAAATGATTAACATGGAAAAAGTGAGGTATTGGATTTTTGTCCTGAGAATTGTCAATTATTCCAGCTTCATAGATTTTCATTATAGATATATTGTTGAGTGTTGTGAATTCAGAGTGTCACTAATTATTTTTATTTATTTTATTTTATTTTATTTATTTAGAGACAGAGTCTATGTTGCCCTTGGTAGAGTGCCATGGCGTCACAACCTCAAACTCTTGGGCTTAAGCCATTCTCTTGCCTCAGCCTCCCAAATAGCTGGGACTACAGGCACCCACCACAACACCTGACTATTTGTTGTTGTTGTTGTTATTGTTTTTTGGTTTGCAGTTGTCACTGTTTAGCAGGCCCGGGCTGGGCTTGAACCCGCCAGCTTCGGTATATGTGTCCGGCGCCCTACTCACTGAGCTATGGGTGGTGAGCCTAATTAATTATTTTTAAACATAACTATGAAAGATGAAGATGAAGGAGCTTTTAGATTAGAAAGAGTGTAATGTCCAGCTCCCAGATCTGTACTCAGCATCATTTTACATCATCCTTGGCTCAGTTCTAACTTCTCTTCCATCTAAAGTGCTGTTTTTGAGCTGGGTGTGGTGGGGTGCTCCTGTATTTCCAGCTACTTGGGCAGCTGAGGCGGGAGGATCACTTGAGTTAGGGATTTTGAAGTTGCATTGAGTTATGATTGTACCATTGCATGCTAGCCCAGGGTGACAGAAAATCCTATCTCTTAAAACAAAAAATGCACCTTTTTAAAACCAACCCTGACCATTTCATTTCAGTGCTTGGAAAAGCTGAATATCTCTTGTTGGGAGAACCAGGCCATGTAGCACTAAGCAACAGGTCAGTGTCTGTGTATTTCCAGTATTCTGATGGTGTTAATGGGACGATGAGGAACGTATCTGTACTGCTTTTGGAGGCCAACACCAATCAGACTGTGACCACTAAGTACATCCTGACCAACCAGTCCCGGGGAACACTCAAGTTTGAGTGCTTCTATTTCAAAGAGGCTGGTGACTACCAGTTCATAATGCCTCTGGAATCAATAGACAATAGCACTCCACTCTTCCATGGGGAGAAAAGTGCCTTTCTGAAGGTGGAATGGCCTCTCTTTCACATCGACTTGAATAGGACCTCCACGGCAGCAGAAGGCACCTTCCAGGTGGGTCTTTTCACTAGCCAGCCACTCTGCCCGTTTCCTATGCCCAAGCCTGACATCATGGTGGATGTCATCTTCACCAACAGTCACCCCCAGGCAAGTGCAACTCTGGGGCATCCACTGGAGATAAGAACCAGCAAAAGGACAGAACTTGCTCAAGGTCAATGGGTTGAGTTTGGTTGTGCACCTGTGGGACCAGAAGCCTATGTCACTGTGGTGCTGAAGCTGCAGGAGCGAGACTCAGTCATTACTTCCACGGGACCCATTGACCTGGCCCAGAAGTTCGGATACAAACTGGTGATGGTGCCAGAACTCAGGTGTGAGTCTGGTGTGGAGGTGACGGTGCTGCCCCCACCGTGCATCTTTGTTCAGGGGGTGATCACTGTCTTCAAGGACAACCCCGGACACTCTGGGGAGAGGACTATGCAGGTGGCTGCGAACAGCCTGCCCCTGGGAGAGAGGAGAACAGAGTTTAACTGTACTTTGTTTGAAATGGGGAAGAATAAATACTGCTTTGACTTTGGCGTTTCAAGCAGAAGTCATTTTTCTGCAAAGGAGAAGGAGTGCATGCTAATTCAGAGAAATATAGGTTGGTATAGAGATTTTTAAACATTTTAAAATCAAAGAATGTCTTCATGTAATCAGAATTATTATTTATAATTTACATGAACTTTAGGTAGATTGTACCATCATTTTTATGGCTCATTCCTTATAAGGCACCAGTTGACATTATCATCCTTATCTGAAAAATTAAGAGTTGTGGTAAACAGACCCTCTTTAGATCTCAGTCCCATGTCAGTAAAATCAGGAGAATATACCACCTCAGAGTTGTGGGGACTGAATGAAATAAATGTGACCTTCTCAGCAGACTGACTGGCATACAAGGAGGGCTCAATAAACACTAACTATCACTATGTTTTAAAAATCCTACTAATACATTATGTGGTAAGTCCATGGTAGACATGATTTGAATTCAAAGCTAAATCCCAAACTGTAGTTAATAATTTCTATCTGTCTGCCTGTAGCTGAGGTTTTGTCCCTGTCACTCAGTAGATTTGGAGAAATGAAAGCAAGATTTCTAAACACCTCCCATCCTGATTCTTTGTGTAGTGCCCTGCCTCATCACAAAGAAGCGGTTTGTGGCAGTCCCGTCCATCCCCCATGCTGCGCCTGGCCTTTCTTTCCTTTTCCTGGAGACAAGCCTGCTCTTAGCATGTGGTTTAGCTGGGCAGTGGTGGTCAGGCCCGCTTACCTGCTGTTCTTATTTTCATCCCCACTAAGCCCAGTGCCCCCTGACTGCACAAGCCTCTGACTGTGTTGGTCTGTAATCCTAAGTGTTCCTTGCTGCAAAAAACCCTTCTTCATAGAAATCCCTTACTTGTGGCTCTTGCCTCCACTGGTGCTTGCACTCACCTCTCTATCTAGCTTAGATTCTGTGGTTTCTTTAGCTCTCCTCCTACCGACATCCTAAACTCCTCTGCCCTGCTGTCCTGATGGTGTACCTGTGGGGCACACCCCACCCTCCCTGACTTTAGCTAATCTGCCAGCTGCCTACTGTACCCAGGCTACCAAGTCTACATGACCAGGTCACACCAAGGCAGTTACCACTGTGGGTGCATCTTGCCTCCAGCATTAGCAGGGCCTGAATGCTCCCCAGCATGTCACCCTGGCCAGGGGTAACTGTTCTGTATCACAGCCCTTTAGACCTCCCCTCTGCTCAGACCTCAGCCCCTGCCTGCTGGTTAACTCAGTTGACTTTGCCAAATACTGCACAGGGGCTGGAAACTGTTAGCTGGGAACTCTGCAAGCTCCCACTTTATTAGAGGCCTGTGAGCCTATAGGGGTCAGGCGCATCCTTTCTCTTCCTTCTTGTCACTGGAAAAAGTGTCACACCTCCCCTGCACTGTGGAGGTCAGCCCCTCTGCTTATTTTGGAACCTTCTAGTCATCTCCCCTCTGTCTCCCATTTTCAGCTGTCACTCCTTCACTGGTTAATTCTCATGATCTTTGAAATATATTTAATTCTGTTATTAAAAGCAAAACTAAAACTATCTCTAACTCTGCGTTCTCCCCTAGGCATTACCTTCTTTCTCTCCTCTTCCCTTTATAGCCCAAAAACTTTATTTGAAAAAGTTGCCTACACTTTGGGGGTTGCTTCTTTGCCTTTAATTCTCTTTATAACCCACAGCAAATTGGTTTCCACTTCTCACTCCTCCCCTGAAAATGCTGTCACGGAAGCAGCCAGGAATGAGTTTCAGGTTCCTGACCCAGGGACACGTCGGTCCATGTCTCCATTGACTCAATTCTGGGACACCACACTCATCTCCCTCCTCCCTGCCGGTTCCACTGCCTGTCTCATCCCCCAGGTGCTGGTCATTTTCTCTTTTACCTGTCACATATTAGCCAGTGATCAGTCTTGATGTTAACTGCTCTAAGTCAGTGATTTTCAAGCGGTGTGCTGCAAAAAGTTTTAAAGATCATTAATTAAATTATTTTTGAGAGAAGTTCAAAGCACAGTATGTATATTCATTTTTTTACTCTTTTTAAATTGATCAACATAATTTAAGTGTACCATGGAAGTTTAACTACAGGTTCAAGTGTGCAGTAAGATAAAAAAGGTTGAAAAACACTGGCCTAGATTGATATCATCCCCTGCTTTTACCAGGCATCCAAGCCCTCTGGGGTTGCTGGCATCTCTCAGATGTCTCCCAGCACCTCCAACCCTGACCCAGTCACCTTGGGCAGAGTGCTGCAGCTCCACTATCCATCTGCTTGTCCAAACCAGAGACCAGCGTCTCTCCTTCTGTACACCAGCCTCACTGAATCCTGTGCCTTTGTCTTTTGGGCGTCTGAATTTCTCTACTTCTCTGTGATTCCACTTTCCTTGTTGGGTTAAGCCTCTACGACTCCTAACCTGGACTCTTCCAGCAGCTTTCTAATTGGTTTCCCCCTTTCCTCTACTTCCTGCCCTTGCTGTGAACAGAGGGATTGGGGTTTTTGTTTGTTTGTTTGAGACAGAGTCTCACTCTATCACCCTGGGCAGAATGCCGTGGCATCATAGCTTACAGCAACCTCAAACTCTTGGCCTCAATTGATCTGCCTGCCTCAGCCCCTTGAATAGCTGGGGGTACAGGCACCCGCCACAATGCCCTGCTGGTTTTTCTATTATTAGTAGAGAGAGATGGGGTCTCACTCTTGCTCAGGCTGGTCCCCCACTTAAAAGCTTTCAGTCACCTCCCTTGACATGTGGGTGGGACTCCCATCCCCCGCAAAAAATAACACCTCTACAATCACTATCTCTGGGCTGGTGAGAGTCCCACTTTCCTGCTCCCACCTTCCCTTGCCTAACTCACTCATCCGCCAAGTCACCATTCAGGTTGTTACTCCTTGACCTTTTCTGGCATAGCTTCCTTTGCTGTAAGTGGCATAGCATCCTTTAGTTCTTCTCTTGTGGCGTTGACCACCTCTGTCGTTGCTTGTTATGCCCTTTCTCTCCCTGTCTTCTCCCCAGCCCACAGATAGGGGAAGCTCACTGGTTGCAAAACTCAGCTTATATAGCCATGAAACTTTTTATGTTCTTTCTTTGGTCCATTTAGTATGCCTGGTGCATTAATAGGTGCTTTTATTTTATTATATATATATATATATATATTGCAGTTTGTATTTTATCTTATTTTATTTTTTATGAGAGACAGAGTCTCATTATGTTGCCCTGGGTAGAGTACCGTGTGTCACAGCTCACAGCAACCTGAAACTATTGGGCTCAGGCGATTGTCTTGCCTCAACCTCCCAAGTAGCTGGGACTACAGGCGTCCGCCACAACGCCTGGCTATTTTTTTTGTTGCAGTTGTTGTTGTTTAGCTGGCCTAGGCTGGTTTCGGACCCGCCAGCCTTTGTATATGTGGCTGGCACTGTAACCACTGTGCTAAGGGTGCCAAGCCTGAACACATGCTTTTAAAAGTGAAAATTAAACTCAGGTCTGCCCAGTCGCAGCTGGGTTTTTGGAGAAAAATCATTTAATTTAATCAAGACATTCTTGTCTTCTTAAAAAAAGAATTTTTCAGCAAAAAATGTTCTGACTGAATTTAATGGACATGAACTGAGGGAAGTCAAGAACTTTGAGCCATTTGATTAAGACACTTGGGGGCAGGATTGGCCCCTTGTTGATTCTCCAGGCTCTTGGGCTTTTCACAGATGATTTCATTCAGTGTCTAATGACTGGGGTTCTTAACCCCCACGGCACTATTAGTGGGACCCTGGAGAGGGACAGGATGGGGGTGACTTTCTGCTTATTGAGGCTAAGGGTGGTCAGGGTTCTGTGTGAGCTGCCAGAGCGGCAGCTGCCAGGCGCGCCCAGCAGCAGGCCTCGGGGTACCTGGAGGGATAACACACAGACCCCAATTTTTCATGGGGTTCGCCTGAAGTGGCTCTGGCTCTGTTGGGCTGAGAGATGAAATTTAGGCTCACAGTAGGAATCTCAGTGTCTTTTAGTATATACATTTATGACTGACGTGAGTTCTCTCTTTTTTCATTTTCTGTTCAGATTGATAGCTCTGACCAGTACAGAGTGTCTTTTTTGCCAAATGGCATCATTCAGTGATGCACTGTGACTTGTGTGACCCACACTGAATTTCTTATTTGTTAGTTCCTTTTGAAAATGGAGTAATGTGTATGTTTGTGTCTTTTTTTCTAAATATGTCTTAGGACCTTGGGAGGTATGTAAATAGCAGTTTATCGCAAATACATCATGGATGTTGTCAAAAATGACCATGTTCTTTAATCCCTTTGATGGGATAAATAACATTTATATTACAGTTTATTCAGCAGGCATTGTTTTAAGTGTTTTGGGAACCTATTTAGTTCTCCCCACACTCTATGAGGTAGGCTTATTGTATTGTCTGTTTTACAGGTGAAGAAATGGAGGCACAGAAAGATTAAGTATGTGCTCAAGGTCAGTGGTGTTTCAAATGGTAGAACCAGAACACAAATCAAGTAAACTAGCATGAGAATTTGCTTTTACCACTATTCTATAATTACCTTCCACACAATCAACTTTCAACCCATGTATTAAACAACATAAAGCTTTTATATTAGAAAATCAAAGGTTCTGTTTTTTTTCCTCAACTCACTGGCTTATCATATGCCATCCTCCCCTTTTGGAAGACCTGTAACCACTTGGGAGTCCACTGGCTCTGGCATGTACTTGTTTAACATTTGTGAGCCTTGTTTTATGCAAAGAAAATCTGAACTGCTGATTCCAGGGCCCTTCACCCCTCCTCCTACTTATAGCTATTCACTTATGTCTATAGAATTTTCTTAATAAGCATTATTGTTTTGGTATCTGGGTCTTTAGAGCAAAATGTCTTACAGATGTGAATATTTCATAATTTCATAGGCTGTATGCCTTCAGATAGTCTTGGGGGCAGAAACATTTCCCTTTTCACATTCCAGACAGAATTAATGACCTCTATAATAGTCTGAAGGCATTTGGCCTGGCCACACAGGTCCATTATGCAGTTTGAGTGCACGTGTGGGTCTCTAAACAGGACGAAGCAAAACAGCAAGACTGAAGTGAGATTTGTAGTACTGGCCATCTTGCATTTCATTTCTAATACATGAACTATAGTTACCTAATGATTTCCAATTTTGCCAAGTATTTTCCTCACCCCTTTTTTTTCAATTGAGATAGTGTCTTGCTATGTTGACCAGGCTAGTTTTAAACTCCTGGGCTAAAGCAGTCCTCCCACCCAGCCTCTTGAGTAACTGGGTTTAGAGGCATGTGCCATCATTCCTGGTTTCCTCAAAGTTATAAGGAGAGATCTTCAGGGATAGAGTCACTTAAAGCATTTTTAAATTTTCCTGATTAAATTTAATCATTGCTTTATTTGCATGATTTCCTGTGTTTCCTGTTTGATTAATCTGATTTAGAAATAAAAACATAAAACATTTATTTTTATTGTTAATTATCTGATAAGCTATAGTTTTAATTAAAGGGAAAAGAATAATTAATATTTCAAGATGGAATTGTTTTGACATTAAGATTTATGTTTTTATCAAAACTTTGATTTTTTTTCTGTTTTTCACTAATGGAATTTTTGTTTTCAGTTTGACAAGTGACTTTATGTATTTAAGTAAATTATCTCTGTATCAAGTAAAAGAAGAGGTCAGAAAAAGCGGTGAAAGAATTCTTAGCCTTTATAATTCTACCTTTTGTGGTCTTAAACATGAGAGAAGGGTAAATTATACAGTGACTTAATTTTCAATTTATATTTCATCATAGTAGACTTTCCAAAAATAAATCTTAATATTTTAAGTAAGAAAGACTATACTATGAGATTTTTCTCAAAGCTTTTTTAAGCATTGGAGGCTTAGTGTTGGAACAGCTCTGAAGCCTTGAGGAAAAAGCTGGCTCATTGTTCTGCTATAGGAAGAGCTGCGGTGTGATCTGGGAACCACAGAACCAATATTGTGTTTAGTTGGACCTCTGGATGGAACATCATTAACCATGCCTCAGTAGATGTTGGTCCAGAATAGTGGTTATAATGCTCCCACTCTTGTGGAAATCCTGAGAGCCTTTTAATTGCTAAAATAACTCATATTCCATTACTCACTGCAAAGATTGCACCACTTGGCTCCCCTGAGAGTGCATCTGCCCTGTACTTTCATGTTTTGTAGCACTTTATACACCTTTGGCTGCATTAGGAGTTTTCCCCATAAAGGATGAAGAGCAGCCTTTATGTGCAGGGTGTTTTGTACCTGGTGTTGGCAGGACCTGCAAGGTCTTGACATTGGATGAGTACTGACAGGGAGGAGATTCAGGATAATTCTTTATAGGGAACTAATTCAATTATTCTATCTGACAGTAATTGCATATTTGCTTGGAAGAGAGGCTTGCATTTATCAATCAATAATGACTTTTCTGGGAGGGGCTTGTGTGTATTTTGAAGCTCTGGTGTTAGGTGCTTTCTTATTTAATTATTAAGGCTCCTTTTGAACTCACCTCTTTATCATTAGATAATGTTCCTTTTTAGCCCTGGTAATATCCCTGCATTTGCAGTCTATTTAGTCTGATGTTAAGATAGCCACTTCAGTTTTCTTTTGATTAATGCTCATAAGGTATCTCTTCTTCCATCCTTTCACATTTGATCTATGAATGTCTTTATACTATGTATGTGAAATAGTCTTTTTCTTTTTTACAAAACAGTATTATTGGATCATGCTTTTAAAAATCTAATCTGACAATTTCTGTCTTTTACTTAGGGTGTTTAGATTATTTATATCGTTATTATATGGTCAGATTAAGATCTGTTTTGCTGGATTTATTGTCACATAGGTTCTATTGTTCTTTTTTCCTGCTTTCTTTTAGGTTAATTGTGTATTTTTATAATTTACTTAACTGGCACTATTAGTTGATTGTTTATTCCTTAAATGTGTTTAGTGGTTGTCATAGAGTTTACAGTGTACATCTTTACTCTCAATCTACCTTCAAGTATTGTATTACTTCACATACAGTGTAAAGATCTTTGAACAGTACACTCCAATTCATTCCTCCTATTCTTTGTCTGATTGTTCTTGTATATCTTACTTTCTATATGTTATTAAACATGTAATACATTGCTAAGGTTTGCTTTAGACTACCAATTATAGAGCATTTAAAAAGTAGGGAAAATAAAAATAAATAAAAAGTAGGAAAAAATGGCCAGGCCTAGTGGCTCATGCCTATAATCCTAGAACTTTGAGAAGCCGAGGTGGGTTGATTGCTTGAGCTCAGGAGTTCTATGACCCCATGACACTCTAGCTGGGGTGATAGAGTGAGACTCTGTCCCAAAAAAATAAAAGTTGGAAAAAATTAATTTTATATTTACCTTTTTACCTATATATGCTATTTCTAACATTCTTCATTTCTTTATATAGATATAAGTTTTTGATTGGTATCATGTTCCTTCTGTCTGAAGGATTTGTTTTAATATCTCTTGTAGTGAAGGACTGCTGGTAATCAATTCTCTAAATTTTTATTTGTCTGGTAAAATATTTCTCCTTTATTTTTGAAAGATATTTTTATTTGGTTGTAATTTTTTAAGTACTTTAGAGATATCATTCTATTTTCTTCTGGCTTACATAGTTTCTGACAAGAAGTCCGCCGTAATTCTTCTTTTTTTTTTGGCAGCTTTTGGCCGGGGCTGGGTTTGAACCCGCCACCTCTGGCATATGGGGCTGGTGCCCTACTCCCTTAAGCCACAGGCACTGCCCTATAATTCTTTTTTTTTTTTTTTTTTTTTTTAAAGACAGACCCTCAAGCTATCCCCCTAGGTAGAGTGCCGTGGCATCACAGCTCACAGCTCCAACTCCTGGGCTCAAGTGAGTCTCCTGCCTTAGCCTCCCAAGTAGCTGGAACCACAGGCGCCTGCCACAACGCTCACTTATTTTTTGGTTGCAGCATTATGGCTGCTTTGGTGGGCCTGGGCTGGATTTGAACCCACCACCTTAGGTGTATGTGGCTGGCGCCTTAGGCACTTGAGCCACAGGCACCCAGCCCGCCCTGTAATTCTTATCTTTATTCTTTGTGTGGTATGTTTCCACCCCCTCAACCTCTGCCATATCCTTTAAGATTTTGTTTTTGGTTTTCAGCAGTTTGAGTATAGTGTGTCTAAGTTTTTCTTAGCTTTTTTGTGTTTATCCTACTGGGTATTTTCTGAATATCTTAGATTTGTGGTTTGGTGTACTTCATTAATTTTGGAGCATTCTTGGGTATTTTCTCTTAAAATATTTCTTCTGCACTATTCTCTTTTTTCCTCTTGGCATTCAAATCACATGTATGAGTGTCTATCTGATATTGTCCCATAGCTCTTGGGTTTTCCATTTATTCACTCGTTTTTTTCCTTCTTTGTCTTTTAGTTTGGGTAATTTCTGTTGACCTTTATTCAAGTTCATTATTTCTTTCCAAAACTGTGCAAAGTCTATTGATGAGCCTTCCATGTTACCTATTTTTAAATTCAAACATTTCCATTTTACTCTAGTTTACAACTCTCTGATGGAATTTTCTATTTCTTTATACATCTTGTTTACCTCTCCCACTAGTCTTTAATATATTAATCATAATTATTTTACATTCTCTCTTATACTTCTAATATATGTGTCATACATACATATCTGAGTCTGGTTCTCTTGATCACTTTGTCTCTTGATAGTTTATTCTTTTTTCCTTGCTTCTTGTGTGTCTTGTAATTTTTGTTTGAAAGCTGGACATCTAGTTGGGAACTGAAGACACAGGTATTTATGCCTGGAATGGCCTTACCTCTGTTTTTTTCTAGGTGTATAGTATGAATATTGGGTTCACATAGTAAGGAATTGAGCCATGTTTGGATTTTTCCTGTTGCTGAGGCCGCCCTCAGTGCATGACAGATACCAAAATTTTCTAGTGTTACTTTTGTTTAGGGAAGGTGTTTCATTGCCAGAGGGTTTTTCTCCATGCTTCTTTTCCACCCTCAGCTTTAGGCTTGAGCCTGCATACCTGAGAGGTTTTCACCTCTTGCTCCCCCTTACCCCTAGCATTTCATACTTGCTACTTGCTAGCCTGAAGTAGGGGAAGAGTTTAACCTCAGTCTAGGCACATTCTATGTCCTGAGTTTCTAGGGCCTTCTTGGTTATCTTGCCCCTTTTCAGCAGTAGATCTCTTGTAGTCTGGGCCTAAGATATTTTTGGCTCTTCCCCAAGGGTAAAGGAGTTTTTCTTATTCCATTCCTTAGGAACATTTGGTCTTTACTCATACTGTTTGGTGACAGGATTTGCTATCTTTTCCCCAGTGGCTGAGACTTTTATTTGGTAGTGGAAATGAGGAGAAGGATCTAGATGAGCCTTTGTGTCTTTTCCTCAGTGTTACCCCTTTCCTCCTCAGTCCTCCATTATGAGGGAAGCTTTGTGTGGGCTTGTACCTGCCCTCAGTCATTCTTGTGAGCATTTGGTGAGATCTGTGAAGAGCCTATAAGTGGGTATAAATTCTACTTGTGTATGTGGCTTCTCAGAGTTCTATATTCTGTGCTAGTCCACACTAGACTTTAAGCAGTTCATTACATTTTTTGAATGAATTCTTCTCACTAGCTTACAGGGGGCCTGGTACTTGTCCAAGGTAAACAAGTGCTGCTTCACATCTTGCATTGGAAGAGCCTATCTTTCCTATATTGCAGGATAGTTGGTTGCCCTGCAACTTTAGCTCTCTGGCGGATTCTAGGAAAGTTAAGGTTATGTAAGTTATATAGCTTTTCTTTGTTGTAAGGTTAGGAGCAACATTCTTTCCAGCTTTCTTCATCTCTGGGAATGTTTTTACTCACTGACTTTTCAAGGCTTAAGATTTGAGTTTTGCTGCTTCATTTGGGTGCAGTTAAATACTGAATCTCAAATGAACTAGCGTTAAAAGCATGACTTATGTCCTTGCAGAAACTTGGGGACTATGGCAGCCATGGAACCAGTGTAGCACCACATGTGGGGATGGTGTCAGAGAGCGTCGCCGAGTGTGTCTCACTTCTTTCCCCACCAGACCTGGTTGCCCTGGAATGCCCGTGGAGACCTCCCTATGTTCTCTGGAGGAGTGTGCTGGTAGGTATTCTTGCTTCCTTTCTGAGTCTCTCCATAGAGCCTCCATCAAAAGGCATTATTGAATCCAGGCCTGCCTGAGAATCACCAGTCTGAGTTTAGCAGTGGACTCATTAGTGCTTTATGATTGCTGTTGGTTGTACTAACACTGTACTTATTAGCATGGATAAGACTGGAAATAGCTGTGAGGGTAGCTTACCAGGAGATGATGGGATTTAACACTGTAGAGGGTAGGGAAAAGATAAGGAAGTATACCTTAATTAAAGATTCAGCTATATTAAATAATTATTAACATAATTAACTTCCATGTGAGTTGTACATATTTAACTTATACTAGTTTTGAGCATGGGGCCTTGTGAAGCATATATAACTCACATATCTCTTGACCTAACTTGATCTAATAAAACACACTATGACACCAAGGAAAAATTTTTTCTAGTGGGGCAGTCAATTTGTTAAAAATACAAAAATGGGAGAGGAATGATCATTTCTTCCTAATATTTTTCTTATTTTTTCCTTTGCTTCTCCCCACCAAAACTGTGGAAAAAAAGATAAGCCCAAGGGGACCATATAAACCGTTATTTATCAAAAATAGAGTAAGAGTACCTGTCCTTTCCCTGGCTAAGTTTATTCTTTACCTCCCTTACCTAGGAAGTGGTAGGAACATTTCTTCTTACTATTAACTGGGGACTGGCCTTTCCTGCGTTTTCTAAGCCTTTCCAAGTTACACACTAGTAGCCAGTCAATGAGTATTTGATGTAAATGGCCTAGGGATGTGATGCTCACAGAGCTTAATTAGGTTTGTTTCAGCTTATGGAGCTAAATCCTCTTCCTTTACTATAAGCCACAGCAGTGAGTAATCCTCCCTCTTCCCACACCCCACCCCACCTCTTGATGAACAACCTCTATTTGGTTGGCTAACCTTTGCTCTGGTTCTGACCCTTAGATGACGTCCATCTCTTAAGTCCTGGCTCCTTCTATTCTTAAATTCCAGATTAAAAAACCCTGTAATTCTTTATTTCTTTAGGATCTGGAGGAGTTAGGTGCTTTTCTGTTTGGCTATCAGAGCACCTTTTACTCCAAACCATAGGCACCTGGCAATATCTCAGCTAGTGTCTCCACCTGTGGCCTTAGAAAATCCTTCCTGCTATCTTATCTTTCCAGCCAGTGCCACTGGCCTTGTTCCCTTCATCCCGGCATCTTAAGGATGTTGTTCTCTCTTCTGTCATTTTCTTATGGAAGCCTCAGACCAGGCTTTCTCCCTGTCTTGCATTTGCCTGTCTTCTTTCACAGGCCCTGGGCCACACCCCCAATCCATTCTTTCTTTAGTTAGATCTCATACTGTTTTCTTTTTTTTAGAGACAGAGTCTTACTTTGTCACCTTCAGTGGAAAGCTGTGGCGTCACAGTTCACAGCAACCTCCAGCTCTTGGGCTTAGGAGATTCTCTTGCCTCAGCCTCCCAAGTTGCTGGGACTACAGGCGTCTGCCACAATGCCTGGCTATTTTTTTGTTGTTGCAGTTTTGGCCGGGGCTGGGTTCAAACCCACCACCCTCAGTATATGGGGACGGCACCTTACTCACTGAGCCACAGGTACCGCCCATCAAGGCTCTCTTCTCGGTTTCCTCTTTTACTTACAAGCCCCTTCCACTTTCCACAGCTTCTCTTTTGTGTATAACTTCCTTCAAATACACCTCATCCTCTCAATTCTCAGTGACATGTTGTGTTCAGACTTTCCATCCAGAGTTTCACATACCTAAATTAATTAAAAATCAGTTGCAATGGTGTCTACTCGATCACCTGTATCTGCTATAACAATATCAACCATTGCTTGACCACCAAGTATATGTCAGTACTTTAAATACATCATCTCATGTAAAAAAAATTGTGTGTCATATTATTTCATCATCTGGCATTTTAATTAATACTGGGTAGGAACTGGAAATTGAGACATTATAAATTAGCAAGAAGGGTAAGTGCAATTTCTACTATAAGTGGTCCTCAGATAAATGCTTATGTGGGTAAAAATAATCATTTTTTCCAAGTGTTCTTTTTTTTCCTACTCAGCCTACTTTTTGCATCCTTGGAAATGTAAAGATCTATTTTCAGGCTGCATAGCTTCAGGAAATCTCCTTCACTTTAAGTGAAAGGGAACAGATTAGATTAGGAAGGGATGGGCAAGCCCAACAGCTTCTGGGTTTTTTCCAGCTGCAGTTTTTGAGGGAGCCAGCAGGAGTTACAAGGTAACAGCTAAATGAAGAAGGTCTTAATGTGTAATAGCAGGGCTGCTGCCACTGTTCGCAGCAGCTGCTGCAGATGAAGGAAGTGATCTATCAGGGAACAAGTCTTCCATCATTCAACTATTTTCACTTGGTTAGGAAGTTAGAGTTTTGTTTGGCAGTAAAAGAATGTTTGTTTGTTTTTTTTTACTTTTAAAGAATTTATTTTCCCATTTATAGAGTAACATTATTATAAAACCCACACTTATTGCAATACCTGCCTTGCTTAAAAGACTCTGGCAAGAGATAGAGAGAGAATCATAAAGGATAGAACCCAGGATTCTAGTACTGGCAACTATGTGTACTTGGTGCAATTCCCTTGAGAGCAGGTGTATTAGAGGAAACACAGATTCTGGGGCAAGATATCAAGACTTAGGCACATTGAGATTGAGTGGTGAGATATCCAGTGGAGACAGTAGAGTTAGTGGAGTCAGAAATGAGATCTAAATCTCCCTGGCTCCAGAATCCATGTTCTTCTCTCTAAATTACACAAGTCAATATTTCTCACTGATACTAAGAGGTACAGAAAGTTGCAAGAAGTGTCTTAACAGAAGCCAATGCTGCAGGATGGATTTGAACTTGGATATTAAGAGCATATTCATGACCTTGGCAGCTGTTTCACTGGAATCCTGAGTATGGGTTGCAGAAGACAGAGGTGATGATGTGGAGCCAAAAAGTCAACAAATGTGGACTCCTTTTTCTATAAATTTGGTTGAGGACACAAGGAGAAAAATATAGCTATGGCAGTGTGGAGGGCTAAAAATGGTCTTTTTAAAGTGAGAAGAGGAGTAAGGGGCAAAGACAGCAGATTAAAATCAGGCAACACATGCTGCTCTCATGGACAGGATCAGAGGTGCTAAGCAGACAGTCACCATTGGATTGATTGTCTAAGAGAGAGCATTGGGAATCAATAGAGAAGTGAAGGAGAGAGACATGGGGCAATGTCCTCAGCAGGATCAAAGATACCTGGGGAAGAGACAGAGGAGAGAATCCTGCTGCTCCAGATTTCCCCTCTGGACGTTGGCATCGGAACTACAGGAGGGTTCATCCACTGCAGCAGGCCTCTGAACTGACACGGGGAGCTAACTAGAGACTGTACAGCAGCATTGCTCCAGAGAGAAGGTAGAGCAGGGTCTCACTGACTTATGAACCTAGAGTACTGAAATTAGTGCCATTTTGAGGTCCCAGCCCCAGAATGCTGCATCTACTCCAGTTTGAAACATTGCTGTTACTTCCCCATCACCCCTGCTGTGCCAGGGCAAATACACCACATGTGCTGACCACCTGTGACAACCACAGGGGAATTGGGAGATTGAGGAGGACAGCAGTATTAAAGACTCAGTGCACCTGCCCTCTCATGCCGGGTCAGTCTTCCAGGGTATGACTCAAGCACACCATCCAGGGGCTTCTCCCTCTCTTCACTGAGCAATGGAGTTCCCAGCAGAGGAGACCATGTGTACCATAAAGCTATCCAACTTGGGCTAAGAGAAGAGGTTCCAGATGAGAAGGAATCAGGCATGAAAAAGAAATAAATGGTATCCAAATTGGGAAAGAGGAGGCCAAATAATCCTGGTTTGATTACCATATTATCTTATATCTAGAAAACTAAAAGTTTCTGCAAAAGACTCATAGAATTGATAAAATCAGTGAAGTCTCAGGTTATAAAATTAATGTACATAAATTAGCACTTCTAAACACCAATAATAGTCAATCTGTGAATCAAATCAAGAATTCAATACTGTTTACAATAGCTGCAAAGAAAATAAAACACCTAGGAATCTACTAACCCAAGGAGGTGAAAGATCTCTACAAGGAGATCTATAAAACATTGAAGAAGGAAATCACAGATGATAAAAACAAATGGAAAAACATCCTATGCTCATGAATTAGAAGAATCAACATTTCAAAAATGTCCATACTGCCCAAAGTGATTTATAGATTCGATGTAATTCTCCCCAACATACAGGCATAATTTTCACAGATTTAGAAAAAGCAATCCCAAGTTTCATATGGAACCAAAAAAGAGCCTGAATAGTCAAAGCAAAAACAAACAAGAATCCTGGAAGCATTACTTTATGGCTGGACTCCAAATTATACCATAAGGCTATAATAACCAAAACAGCGTGGCACTAGTACAGTGGTAGACACACAGATCAATGAAACAGAATAAAGAACCCAAAAATACAGCCATATAGCTATTGCAAATTGATTTTCAACAAATAGACAAATACACTGGGGAAAAGGATGCCCTACTCAAATAACAGTGCTGGGATAATTGGGTAGCCAAATGCAAAAGAATGAAACTGGATCCCCATCTTTCACTATGTATAAAAATGACCTCAAGATGGGTTAAAGACTTAAATGTAAGACCTGGAACCATAAAAATTCTAGAAGAATACATAGGAATAACTCTTTTGGGCATTGGTCTAGATAAAGACACAAACCCCAAAAGCAAATATAGCAACAATAAAAATAAAAAATGGGACTTAAACTGAAAACTTTCTGCACTGCAAAGGAAATAATCAACAGAGTATATAGACAACCTACAGAATGGGAGAAAATAGTCATAAACTATACATCCAACAAAGGGATAATATTCAGACTCTACCAAGAAATCAAAAGAATTTGCAAGAAATAAGCAAATAACCCCATGAAAAAGTGGGAAAAAGACATGAACAAATTTTTTTCAAAGGAAGATAGAGAAATGGCCTACAAATATATGAAAAAATGCTCAACATCACTAACTATCAGGGAATTGCAAATTAAAACCACAGTGAGATACTACCTTCATTCATTATAGGGGACATTACTGAAAAATAAAACAAATGTTCGCATGGATGTGATGAAAAGGAAACGCTTATACACAGTTTGTGGGAATGTAATCTAGTACACCTGCTATGGTAACAGTATGGAGATTCTTCAAAGAACTAAAAGTAGAGCTACCATTTCACCCAGCAATCCCACTCCTGGGTATACTAAGTCATTTTATTAAAAAGACACCTGCACTGAATGCTTACTGCAGGACAATTCACAATTGAAAGATAAGAAATCATCCAAAGTGCCCATCAATTCCTTAATGGATAAAGAAAATGTGGTGTATGTGTTCCATGAAGCACTACACAGCCATAAAAAGGAATGAAATAAAGTCTTTTGCAGAAACTTGGATGGAACTGGAGACCTAGGTGAAGTATCTCAGGAATGGAAAAACAAATAACAAATACCACATGTTCTCACTTATAAGTGAGAGCTAAATAAGGGGTATAGTGCTCATAAAATGGTATAATAGACATGTAAGAAGGAAGGAGGGGGAGAGGGAGATGAGGAATAAAAATCTACCTGTCCAGTACAATGTACATTATTAGCAATGGGTACACTGAAATCCCTCACTTGAGCATTATATAGTTCATCCATGTGATAAAAAACACCTGTACCCCCTAAATCTGTTGAATAAAACAATTAAAGTGAGAAGAATTTGGGCATGTTTTTGTGCTGGTGAAAATTGCTAAGGAGTGATGATCCCCTGGGGAAGGTTGGCCTAGAGAGAATTTGCTGGTAGCCTGGCCTTTTGTAAAAGGTCACTTCTCCCACTGATAATGTAGCAAAAGAGGAAAATTGAGATATGACTTCTGGTAAGTTTATGGGCTAGGAAAGAATGGAAGAAGAAGCTAGGGGTGTATTTGCCTGATGATTTACATCGACCTGCATGGGTGTGTTATTTTCTCCACCAGTGTTCAGGGTCTGGGTGCAGCAGCTGAGAATTCACATGTCTGGGTTTACCTAGGGTTGGACTTTTACTGGAGACCAGGAGACGGAAGATGGCTCAGTATTAGAAGTCAAGAGAGTTGAGGTTGTTGGAAGGAAAATTATTTCAGTGACAGATCATGGATGTAAGTTGGTTAGGAATAGAAGTGAGGCTAGGAGGTGGATGGCAGATTGGGGAAAAATGGAGGATTGGACAATCAAGTCTCAGTGATGAATAATCTAGTGTGGGAATAGTGAATGAGTGAAAGGGGAGGACACGGCCAGAAAGCAGGCTGTGCAGTTTAAGACTTCAGAAGAGGAATACCTGCAGACGGTGGGAAGACACTATGTATTGGATGTACTTGAAGTCATCTTCACTTGGGATTGTCCTACCTTGGGATAGCAAAAAAGACTATAACCCATGTGCTAGAGTGACTGATGTCTGGCAAGAGGTTGGGAAATAATGGTGTTGAGGGTGGTCTAGGTGGGTGGGTATGGGCATCAAAGGAATGAAAGTTTTATATGGAGGTGAAAGGAGTGCAGGTTGAAAATGGCAGTCAAGAATGAGCTTGGGGAACACATGCTGCATAGCTGGCCCTGTTTGCTTACAAAGACTGACAATTAGGTTCACAAATTGGTCCTGGAAAAAGTGCTACATACCTCGTTGCTTAATATCACTATGGTCACCTTTGAATTTTCCCTTTGGGAAGCTATGCACTGATGCTAGTGCCTAGTCTACCCTTCAAACCAGTTTTGGAACTCTTTTTCTGGAATGCCCATGAGAGCTGTTGTAGTACAATTAAATTTGCCAACTTTCCACTGTGCCTTTATGCTGGGAGCACTGTACAAACAACTCAGTCAGGTTTCATAACCTTGGTATACCAGTGTCTCACAGCTGTGTTTGTATCAACATGTGGCAATATATTGCCGAGTAGCATTCATTACTGTTGTGTATTTGAGTGTGCAGTACTATGACAGCTCTGATGGCCATTCTAGAAAAAGAGTTCCAAAATTGCTTTGAAAGGTGGACTAGATGTTGGCATTGGTGCATAGCTTCCCAAGAGGAATACTTCAAAGGTGACCACAGTGATATTCAGCAGTGAAGTGTGTAGGACTTTTTCTAGGATGAGTTTGCACACTTACTTGTCTGACCTTCATATGCAGGATGTACATGCATGTGTGACAGCCACCACTGAGAGGGTCGGGGAAGCAATACACCACAGGGTAGCCAGTCTTTAGATGGGACAAGGAGGTGCTTTGTGGAAAGGTTAGGGTTGTTGAGGAGTTTGCATTCAGCTATCCTTTGGGGTTCACTAGAAAGGTTGTGGGATAGGTGGAGGGCAGGAGGACAGGTGGAGGGGTGAAGCACAGTTGGTGATGATAAGACTGTGGAAAAAGTGATAGGATGGGTGACGAAGGGGGACAGAGGGGAAGTCAGGCGGCAATAGTTGTCTCAGATTGCCAAGGTATTTCAGAGGCAGCACAGGTGGAGGCTCCAGGTGGCACCTGCACTTGATGAAACATTTTGATTACCATAGGACAAACCAATTTGAGAGAGCAGGAGATAAAAAGAAAAACCCACACCACATGGAAAATGAGAAGGAGAGTGGACAGATCAAAATAGAGAGGGAGGAAGCAGAGGCTTTAGCACTTAGCAAAGACAATTTCTGGATATTAGAAAGGGGATATGAGTTGTATTATAATGTCAAGAATCTTATTTTCATCATTTAGTTTCTGTTATGATGTGCAAATTTAGGTTACCTACATTTAACCTACTTAAATCATTTTGCATTTCCAATTTTATACTTGGTAAGACGTTTCCAATGTGCTTCTCATAGGTATATTTCACTAGATACCATGATTACATTGTCCTAAGAGGAAAGCCTTGATTTTACCTTCAAATTTCCTGCATGCTGCTTCTACACAGAAAATGTGATGAGTTCACCAGGAGCTGGTGAGCACAGGCGTTGCCTTGATGGAGGCTTACCTGGTCGCCTCACTTGCATGGGTCTCTATTTTTGCAGTGTTTCCCCTTTGGTGGTGACCTCGTATGGTTTCAGCTGCCAGCAGAGATCCTTATGTAAGACCAGAAGAGAATCATTTTCCTCCTTTCCTTAACTGCTAGATGATTACATCAAGCCACTCAGAGCCCTGAGAACCACTCAGAGAGAATAATACTCAGAATACATTCGTTTCCCCCCACAATTTTTTTTTTTTTTTTGCAGCTTTCAGACCATCTGTCCTGCCTCCTCTTCAGCCCCGGGGTCCAGCGAAGTCCAACAACATCGTGACGGTCACTGGTATATCCCTGTGCTTGTTCATCATCGTGGCCACCGTGCTCATCACGCTGTGGAGGAGGTTCGGCCGCACCCCCAAGTGCAGCAGCCCCGTGCGACACAGCTCCGTGCACACTCCCGGCTTCCGCAAGAACTCGGACCAGGAGACCATCTGCGAGCTGGGTGAGCTGGGCGAGCAGCGCGGCAGCTTCTCGGACACAGGCGACGGGCCCGGGGCAGGCGTGGGCATCCCACTGGCCTTCCTGAGTGCTCCCGTGGCCCCTGAGGATGACGCCTCGGGCAGCGAGAGCTTCCAGTCCGGTGCCCAGAAGATAATCCCCCCACTGTTCAGTTACCGCCTTGCGCAGCAGCAGTTGAAGGAGATGAAGAAGAGAGGTCTGACGGAGACCACCAAAGTGTACCATGTGTCACAGAGTCCCCTGACCGACACTGCCGTAGATGCTGCGGCTGGCCTGCAGCCATTGGACTTGGAAAGCTCGGAAGAAGCTGCTGCAAACAAGTTCCGGATCAAATCCCCATTTCTGGATCAGCCAGCAGCCCATGCTGGGGACAGGCCTCCCTCTAGGCTGGACGTGGGCGTGTCTCAGGCCCGCTGTGCGGTTAGCCCTAGCCAGACCCTCATCCGCAAGTCGCAGGTGAGGCATGTGGGCAGCAGAGGGGCCCCGCTGGACAGGACCCACCCCAGGAACCCCCACTTCCGGAGGACGGCTAGTTTCCATGAGACCAAGCAGGCCCGGCCGTTCAGGGAGAGGAGCATGTCCACGCTGATGCCGAGACAGGTCCCTGCCTACAGCTCCAGGGCGCGGACCTGGGACCATGCAGAGGACAAAGTCAGGCCTCCAAGTCGGGGCGTCCACTTGTTCCCTGAAAGACTGGAGCTTCTCCAAGGAGCAGGAGGAAGCGGCGGCCCGTTGAGCCCTCTCCCTAGATCGTGCACCGTGGGGCAGCCCTCCAGGAAAGCGGAGCTGGGGGATCGCCAGGCGGGACTGGTGGTGGGAGTTGAGAGAACAGAGCCTCACAGAGCCCGGAGGGGCCCGTCCCCCAGTCACAGGAGTGTCTGCAGAAAGCAGTCTTCCCCCGCATCCCCTAAGGAAAGCTACCAGAGGGTCAGTCCTCAGAGCCCTTCTCAATGTCGAAAAGACAAGTGTCAGAGCTTCCCCTCCCACCCAGAGTTTGGCTTCTATGACAATTCCTCCTTTGGCCTCACAGAGGTGGAGCAGAGGATGCTGGACCTCCCGGGATACTTTGGGTCAAATGAAGAGGATGAAACTACAAGTACGCTTAGCATGGAGAAGCTAGTCATCTAGACCAGGAATGAGTGGAGGACTTCACTCAGCTGCATCAAACTGCCCTGGTTCTGTGGGCTGTTTTGTGTGACTTGCTGTAAGACAGTGAGGGGAGGAAATACCTGGCACCAGAGGAGGATGTATGTATGCTTGCCTTATAGTTCATAAGGGAGAAGTTATTTATCCTGAACTTTTCCTTTTGTTATCCTGTTTCTATTGGTTTGTTACTAATAACAATGGTAACAAAAAATAATAAAATTTAAACAAGACCAAATGGGGCTTGGTTCTATCATATGGATATGAACGATGGTGAGATGTGACTTGGGAGTATGACATACTTTGAGCACCTCATTGGCGATTTCCAATTTCAAGCAGAAATGTGGGAGCCTGAAGTAATACAGGCTGAAGCAAAGTTAATTTGGTTTCACAACTCTGACTTCTAACTTAAAGAATTTGACTTTTGCCAAGACAGTGGAGAGAAGGTTTTATATTTGGCTGATTAAGTTAATTATGACTATTAGACTACTAAGTTACTTAGAAATGATGATAGCACAAGGTTTTCTAGAAGAACTTTCAGGCCAGAGTACTTGACAAAATTATATGAATTAATTCTGCTTTGGAGAAATAGCATAAGCTGCTTGTTCAGGCAGTGGGTCACATGAATACCTATCCACCATTGTTCTAAGCAAATAGCAAACATTTTGAAAAGGAAACTACTGTCTCCTGACAAAGCATCAGCTGGAAAGTGGGCCGTAGTTGCTGACCCAGACACTGACCTGGCACCAGGATCCTGATCCTGTGCCCTTCCACCAAACTGGTAGCAGAGACCTCAGAGGGGGTCATCCTGAAACAGGTGCACATGTTTTTAAACATAACAGTGTTATTAAGAAAATGCATAAATTAAAAACAAACAAAAAAAGAAAATGTATAAATTAACCTAAGGTATATAGAAAGCAGGCAACTAGTTTATGATTTTAGAATTTAAGCTTTTTTAATCAAAAGAGAGTGAAGAGGGAAGAAATCTTTTTAGAAATTTAGAGTCATGTTTCTTTGCTTATTCAATCTTCCACATTTTACAGATAAGGAATTTGAAACTCAGGGAGGGTAATTGACAGAAATAGATAGAAAGGATATGGGCTGATACCTAATTCTAAATACATGTTTTTTGCACTCTGTCATGACAGCCTTTGCAAGTCTTCTCCAATAGCAGAGACTTCAGGAGAAATCTAGTCCTTTTTGCAATCAGAGGACATAGACACCTCTACTAGCTTTTCCCAAAGGAAACAGGCTTTCTGCTGCTTAATGAGATGTTGGGAGGGCTGGTCTTGTGACTTGCTTGTTTGCAAATCAGCTAAACAAAAGAACCTGAGGCTTGTGTTCCTTCATGAGAAGTCTGTCCTCAGCTGCCAGGGCGACTGTGCAGTGTCACACAGTTCCTTTCAGCCTTTGAACCTCATGATTTATCTGCATACACTTGAGCAGCTGCACTTTCCTTTTTCACCATGACCTCTCTGCCACACCCATCCTGCCGGTTAGATTGTTTCCCTTCTTCCTTTTAGAATTTATCAGGATGTCAGTGCCAGTGAGATTTCAGGAAGCATTGGATAGAGTGGAATTAGATGGGGGGAAAATCATAAATGCAAATAGGGTCTGTTCACATGTTTCTCTCATGTTAGTTGTGGTGCCACTTCATTTGTGCCATATTTGTTTAAAATCAAAATATACCTCCTTTTGGATATAATTTAATAGAAACTTATCCACCTTTCAGGAACAGGAGGGGTAGATTATTCAGGGCTGCCTGACAACTGATACTTGTTGATACAAACACAAGGAAGCCAGGCTTTTTAATCTTCATTTTTATTGTTTATCATTCTAGAAGCTTTGTTCTCTTTCCAAGTTCACAGGCCTGTGTGCCAACCTTTGAGGACAGAAGGTACATGCTCATTCCTGATTTCATAGTGACTCACCTTACAGTGTCAAACTGAGACCAACACAGCTATGTGAAAGATGAAAACTAGAGGAAAACTTTATGAATAAAAATTTTCTACTAAATTATATTCTTTCTCCAATATGTTAATATTTCAGTAAGCCACCTAACTATGCCTATTTTGTAGGTCTCTAACCAAGAGTCAGTCTCTACAGTTCAGAGCTAAACTAATTTGGCCTCTGCCTCTGAGAAAGAAAGAAGATAGCTCAGCATTGTCTTTGGTGGATAACTGGTAAACTGCATTAGAAATAATTTTCCATTTTTCACCCTAGGCTCTAGTGGATACCATAGAGTAGGAACTCAATAAAGATTTGTTGAATAAGTAACTATATTCAAAAGCCCTCAAACTGTATTTGTGGTTGAATCACAATCATTTTATGGAACATTTTATTTTTTATTTTTATTGATTTATTTATTTTTTTGAGATAGAGTCTTTATTGCCTTTGATAGAGTGCTGTGGTGTCATAGCTCACAGCAACCTTCAACTCTTGGGCTCAAGCGATCTCTTGCCTCAGCCTCTCAAGTAGCTGAGACTATAGGCGCCCTCCATAATGCCCAGCTATTTTTAGAGATGAGGTCTCACTCTGGCTCAGGCTGGTCTGGAACCTGTGAGCTCAAGTAATCCACCTGCCTGGGCCTCCCAGAGTGCTAGGATTATAGGCATGACTCACCATGCCTAGCATATGGAACATTTTAAATCTGAAGCAATTATGAAAAGGATGTATTCCTATGAGATACTGTGAGTTTTTAATTTCTAGATGTCTCCCTCTAACACATAAACTGATTCTCATCATTTCAGGCTGTTATCCTGGCTGAAGGTGAAGGTGTCTCTGGAGTCTAATGCAGTCTCTGGTACACAGTAATCACTAAGTGCTGAATGCACATGAAATTGGCCTACAAATAGAGAGAGTACTCTCACCTTCCAAGCAGCCTCCACCATTCACTGCTCAGAGTCTGCCCCAGCTCCAAGGCCAGTGATCCCCACTCACACCTTCTGCTTAAGTAAGTTAATAAAGCTGAGTGCACTCAGAGTGACAAGCCTGAGCCACGGCTATTCAAGGGTACTCCGGTCCTTCTTACAAATTTGTCCTCCTCTAGGTCTAATTCAGGAAAACACATTTACTGTTCTTTTTTTTTTTTTTTTTTTATAGAAGATATTATGAAGGGTAAAGATAAAGAGATGCATAGGTGAGGTCTGGGAGAAGGGGTATGGAACACCTATACCCTGTCCAGGGGCACCACCCTCCAGGAACCTTCAAGTGTGCAGCTATCTGGAAGTTCTCTGAACCTAGTCCTTATGGGATTTTATGGAAACCTCGTTATGTATGCATGATTAATTAAATCATTGGGCATTGGTGATCAACTTAACCTCAGTACTTCTCTTCTTCCTGGAGGTTAGGAAATAAGGTTGACAACCCCAACCCTTTCATCATGCCTTTCTTTCTGTGACCAGCCCCATCCTGATGCTACCTAAGGGCTGCTAGCCACCAGTCAAAAACCACTTTGGAGATTCCAAGGATTTTAGGAATTGTGTGCGAGGAGACTGGCATATATTTCACAATATCACACACACACACACTCATAGAGGATCAAATCAGAGGGGAGTCTATGAAGAGACTAAACAAGAATTCCAGAGAGATCAGAGAAGACTGAGGGGAGAAAGATTACAAAGAAATAATGCAATAAACATTTTCAGGCAAGATGGTGGAAGAGAAACTGCTTTTGTGAAACCAGACACAGTGAGATAGGGGAGAGAAGACTCCAGGCACCTCAGGATGGTGGGCTTTGCCCAGAAACATCCCTTTGGGGGCACAGGGTGGCAGGGGGAAACTTTGGGACCACAGGAGGAGGATAAAAGCAGTGAAGAAGGGGCAAGTATTTGTGTTGGGTCTGAGGCCATCAGCTGTGGTGGCTGAGGGTGGCAACATCTACAGCAGTGGTGAGAGTGTGCAGACAGGTAAAGCCTTTCCTGAGGGGTTTTATTGGTTTTGGACACTTGGTTGAGTTACCTTGGGAAACCTTGGGCGAGCAATGAAGTGACTTTGAACAGAGCCCAGAGATTGGGACTGAGCCGCTGGGGCAGAATGGAGTTTTCACTTTTCAGCCAGTCATTGTGGGAGAGCTGCTTTGCAGGCTCAGCCCTCAGGATTCTAGAGCGAGGTTGGTTCTAGGAGACCTTGGGCAAGTGAGCAAGCAACTTCGAACAGCACCTAGAGGCCAGGACTGAGCCACAGGGGCAGACTGGAGGTTTCATTGTTAGGCTGCAGGCAGTGCATAGCCATTGTGGGAAAGTTGCCTTGCAGTCTCAGCCCTCAGGGTCCTGCAGCAAGGTTGGTTCTGGAGCACCTGACAAGCCAGCAGCCACTTTGGGAGAGATCTGAGCAACATTCACTTTCCTGGGATAGCCACTGCTTAGCAAAGGCGCACAGCTTGGAAAGGTCGAGGTGTGCATATTACACAGGCTGAGGAGATATCCAGGCTCCCAACCTTGTGGGATTTTAGGGCAAAGAAGTTAGCAGAGGCTTCTAGTCTCCATCTTACACAGTTGTATTGTGAGTAGCATCTCATATCCCAGATCACCTGTTGCCCAGGCAATATTCAGCAAGATATAGGTGTATAGTTTCTTTTTCTTTTCTTTATTGTTGTTGTTGAAATGGTTGTTATTGTTAATTTGTCTGTTTTTTATTTTCAAAAATTTTTTTCTTTTTCAAAATTTTTCCCTCCAGATTTTTCTCTATCTTTTTTCTTCATGTTTTCATGTAAATATAGTTTTTCATTGTTTCCTTCTTTAATAAGGACTTCATTTTTGCTAGTTTTTCTGCCCCTGATATATGCTTCCCCCCCCCCCAATTTTATCACTTAAGGATTTTTGTTTGTTTTGGTTTAATTTATAGTACTTTTGTTTTTCTTTTCTATTTGGTTTAGGTGGGGTTCTGTGTCTGCTCAGGCTGGCAAAGAGCTGCAGACATCAAGGAACCCACCCAACATAGCCCCCCCAGAGGTTGGGATTTGTGGGTGTGGGTCAAAGTACCCTACTGTATACTACTGTTACCCCTGACTCATTCTATTCCTCTGTTCTTTTTGTTAATCTTCCCTTTTACTCACTATATTTCCTTTCTCTTTTCCCTCTCTCTTTTTCTTTTTTATCTTTTATCCCTTCTTGCTCTTCACTTTTCTTGTCCTTTTAGTCCTTTAGCAAAAGGACACTGCAACAC